ATTCTACATAAAATAACAACTTATATTCATTTCAATCCTGTCACCTAGAAACTACACTGAAGCAAAACACAGTCTCTAGCAACACATTTTATATGTAGTAGCTGTAGGCGTCTATACATATAAAGGGACCATATTAGTCCTCTTATATAGTTCTGATATGATATATGTAAATATTAGCTCTGGTTCCTATTTGGACTGTAGGTGAGAGCTGTTTGAGCAGCAGTCAACTAAAAGCTCTAAAACAGAAAGGAAAATAGCTCTTCTGTTGTTTTGTATGCCATCTGTTCACCTTGAACATCTGATTGCCAATTCTAGTATATAACCATAATGTATTCTCCTTCAAAGACAAACAAACAAAAAGACAAAACAACCTAGCATCTACAAGCGTCTGAACGATATAGAATTCTTAATTCTTAAAACCAATAGTCAAAATTGCTGATTTAAATTTGATAAACTCATATCAGCTGATATGTAGTTGTTTACTCATTTACACACGGCCTGATGTTGTTTGGATCTGCTGCTTGTTGCGTGTGTGGCAGTACCGCCAACAGGGAAGTTGCGACGCGCCCTCTAGTGGACAAACTATGCAACATCAACCAATAAAATCGGCCTTTCAGATAACATTTTAGTATTAAGTACCATATAAATGTCATTTCTAGGTGACAGCATTGATTCTGTGTTAAAAGTAAAATAGCAAAGCGTTCACTTCACCAGAACAAATGTACCCTGTTTTCTTCCTTCAACAAAAGGTAGTGAGTTCCAGTAACTCAGAAATCCATACAACACAACAATGCCAAGACCAACTCATTTAATTAACTCATTTTTCTCAAAGATTTCAAGTTTACTAGCAAGACATTTTTAGACGTACATCAACATTTTCAATTCAGTAAACACAGTCTACAAGGAAAAAGTTCATTTTAGTGCAGTATATTTCCCCATTAATTGTTAAAGAACTCACAGTATCGTTTATAATGTTGCACTTTGTTCTCTAAAGCAGCGATTACTAGATCAACACTGAACTAAAAAACAAATAGTGACCCAGTACACTCTAAGCTTATCTGACCTAGAGGAAAAAAGCTGTTATAGCCGACATCACACCAGTGGTTAGTCCCTTAATAGTCTTGTAAATATGGAACAACAGTGAAGCAGATGTCTAGAGAGCCTATGGTCACAGTAAGCCCTCCATTGCCACTACAATTACTACCTTGAATAGTTACAGACAAAGAACTGTTCCGGACTTCTTTCAATGTCCTTCAGAATAGACGAATGTTCTTGAGGTGACCACACAGTGGACCAGCCAATCTGTCTTCACACTGTAGCCATAATAAGTTTCCTACACCTCAATAAATAAGCAATTTATTCTCCTACCTGCACCCCCCACCTCCAGCATGGAACTCGATTAGACCTGAAGCAAACATGGACATGAAGGAAAGTGTTGGCACGCAGAGCTGACTCAGCTCAGGGAGCTGTGATTTATTTAATCTTAAATTCACAAAGATAGCTTACATCCAGATTTTTCCATCACTACCTAATCTCTCCTTTGGGAACTGGATCCTATACGCATGAAAACTGCAGTGGCTAATCTACATCATTGTTTTCAGTGTTTAATCAAATCTGTTCAATATATGTCAATTCTTAAAGGCCTAAAAAGCAGTCACTGGTGGAAACTAACAAACCAGTCTAACGTCATGCTGAGTGGAGTCCCAATCTTCCCCACTGTGCAGTGCATTACATTTTTCTTCATCTGTACAAGGTGAAGATGAAGGGAGATGGCCTCCCCCTTGTGCTCGATCCTCCTCCGTTAGATGGATGTAGGAGGGCTGCTGGAGGGACTACGATTTACCTGTCTAGCTTGCTACTTGTCACACACAGTTCACACAACTGTGCTTCATAAACTGAGAGGAGAGAGTGCCATCCTTTCGAGGGAGGCGAGAGGAGCGACTGTCAGAATACGGCGATGCCAACACTGGCAGAAATCCGGGAAAACAAACGACCCACCGTTCATCTTCCAAGTACAAACCTGCTCACATATGGCGGCGTATAAATTCTGGCAGTCAAGCCCTACACCACCTTTCATCTTTGTTTTCCTTGCCTTTCTGTTCCTCCCTCGTGGTTATCTGAGCTTCTATGCTGAAGCTAAGCCTTCCAAGAAATATTGAAATCCATGAATAATAACCGTCATTAATCAACTGTTGCATGAATACATAATCTGAGACCGTACTGAGTCTAGGATGGAAGACTTTAACATTTGCATTGGGAACTTGTGTGTGTGTGTGTTTAGTCATATTGGATTTACTAGTCCAATATGTAGGATCTTACATGCAGCATTGATCAGATTCATTAGGCAAGAATGGAAGACGAGTGTTTCATGTATTTATAGTTTAGACCATCCAAAACTGCCTTACAGAGTATATAATGTGTTTTAACTGTGCTTAAAACTGTCAAATTTTCAATTAGGACACTAAACGATGTCCTGAATAAGAACGCTGGCAATTTGCCTCGACTACTTGTAACAGTTCTGCTATTCTGTCATCGCGGCCTCTAGTGATTCCCTATTCCAGCACAAGATGAGCAATTATTACAATATTCATTGGCATGAATCGCAACTGATTCAATAGGCTGGAAGCTGGTTCGAAGCAAGCCAAGGAAGATCAGGTCCCATTTTTCAAATCAGCGCTCAGCTCAGTCGGCCTCGGTGTGTTACTCATCTGCGCACCGCACAGAGACGGTGACAAGACATAAGAAATACAGCATCACATCCAGAAAACACACAGCTGCATTGTTAAAAAGGGGGAGTAAAGGTAGCCCCCCACCCCACCTCATCCCAAAAAACAAACAAACAAAAAACTCCAGCTGGGACTGATGTTTAAGGGATCACTCAAAGTCAAACACCTCTGTGTTTTCTTGCTGTGATGAGCTTGTCATCTCACTCTTCATTTCCTCCAGGATTCCCATACAGCAAGTGCAGCATGCACTTACATGTTTTTAAATCCGATCACTAAACAACTATTTAACATCCAATTCCCTGCATCAATTCAAAAGAATATGTTCTCGCTGCTAGAATATTGACGCTGGCAGATGCAAATGAAGACTCAGAAACACATGTGGGATTCTTGCTACTCAGTGCAAACAGGAAAACAATCCCAAGTTCATTATTGACTGTATGTACACCTCTGATGGCAGAGGCCAGGGGATTACCCATAATCCTTTGCCTTTTCTACCCTGCTGCTTTCAGCCTTGAGGCACTACCCTCTGGTAGCACAAACCCTCAATTGCAAAGGGAAAAAAAAAGAAAGAAAAAAGTCTCCTTTATCCCCAAAATCACCTCTAAATGTATGACGACCTCATCAGTTTTCCTCTCCTTGGCTATATTTAGCTTTACAGTAAGTGAAAGGGCAAATTTGAGGGACTAGGTGTGAAAAAGGATGACACCCCCCTGCAACAAACCCCTTCAAAAAGGTCTCTTTACATGACAATGAAGAAATACAGCGTCCTTGCTTGCCACTGTACTGCACCATTCTTCCAAACTTGTCTTTCGTGCTGTGCACTGAGAGGTGCTGGTCACATATTTACAACAGCAAACGCAACAGAAATAAATACAGTGAAAGCAGAGGAATTTAAAATGATGCACGCCGCCTTCTCCTGCTTGCACAGCAGCCAGAAATCCTTTTATTTACAAAGTGCACTGAGACAGCTGAATGAGGTTAGTATGGACAATATCATCATCAAGCAGCATTTTGAGTAGCACTGGTGCTAACAAGAGGCAGAGAGAAGAGAGGAGTGGAGCAGAGGCTACTAAACTAATAGTAGTAGTAGTAGCTAATAATGGTAGTAGTGTTACTCCAGTGGAGACGGTAGGAGATGGAGGTGGGCTTTAACAGGTGTACATGTCATCCCTGCTCTTTAAAAACAGGGAGGCAAAATGAGGTCTCCTTTTCTTTTCTCCTCTGCGTTGTACTGGCCTCATTGTAGTGGTCTAGAGGCTGTGGTGAGAGGAGGGGGCCAGTATGGGAGCGCAGGGGTGCAGGCTGCATCCCCCTCCTCCCTCAGGGATAGCCATCATCCTCCAGACTGAGTGCCACGCGCTGCAAACAGCAGATAAAAAGACCGTTACCACAACAGGCTGGTTAAGGAGAAGGAAGTGAGATAGAACAGCGGGGAATGAAAATAGAGAAGCTCAGTGGAAAAAGAGGAGAAAGGGAGACAAGATTCCAGTCTAGGTGGAACCCAGAAGAAAAATGGCAGCTTTGTTATGTGATGCCCTCTCACTATTCTGCCTCCTCTCCCCAACCTTCGTCTTCGTTTCTTTCCAATTCAGCCCCCCCAACGTGTTGTTTGTCCCCTCCTTCCCTGGCTGCTCGTAGCGAGGAATGCAGGCTGCCTGCCTACGGTTGCGAAAGTCTGGCCCACATAATGCAAGCCTGATTTCTCTGGCTGCCCGAGCTGCCACACTGAGACAAAGGGCAAGAAAAGTTAGGACGAGAAAAGAAGAGGAATAAAACCACTAAAGAGATAAAAGGCAATACATAAGATTTGTACAAATGTTTGTAATAAAACTGGGAAAACGAGAGAGAAGGAGTAAAGCCCCCTCTCTCGTTCCGCGAGGGTAGGTTGTTACTTCGACCTTGAATCTTAATATGACTCAGTCGTGCACCTGTTTCAGTGTCTGTCTGAGCGTGCTTCCCGCCTGTCATCATGCCAGTGATACCCAGAATTCTTTGCCTTCTTTCTCTCCGGGGTGACACAAAGAAATCTGTGTTACCATGCCAACAGATCAAAGCGCTAGACTCCCGTCTTGCCCTCCCTCCTTTATGCTTTTTGGCTGCCCTTCGCCGCTTGCTCTCTGACACCCAAAACAAGAAGCATATTCGGTAAATGTCATAAACTCCTAATGACGCACAGTCTGGATTTAAGGGCATTTTACTTTACTGCTACGTGTTGCAGCTGCCACTGTATCCAGGGTTTGTAGAAAATGCCGCTTCCAGTGACTTTTAAACTGCATATACATCAATGGGAAGTCATCAGGGTAATCCTGAAATTGCGTTGCTGAGATTTATGGTTTCTGCAAGATAAATTGTATTTCGAGAGAGTCCTTCATCCTGATTTGTGCTCCTTTTTTCAAATTTTGTGTGACCTCAAAACAAAATCGCATTAGTTCAATGCTATGACGCAACTATCTACTCTACATGTCCAATTTATTTGTGAGCAGTGGCTATAGAGCGACTCCTCTTTCACCTCTCTTTTTTTGCATCTCATCTGCACTAATCATGATTTCTTGGCTGCTGAACCTTTCTGAAGCAAAGGAATAATGCTTTGCCTGTGCACAAGGGTTTTGTCAGGAAATGGGGATCACTCACTTCAACAACCAAAAACACTAACACGATGCACAAATAAATGGGATGGCGGGTCGGCAGCAGGGATGTATCGCATGAATATGGTCGCTGAAGGTGAACGAAATGTGTGTCGAGGGTTTACGTGTACGCGTGACAGGTGTGTTCGGTAATTACTTCAAAAACATAAAGAAATAAAATGATATGTGAACGTGTGCGAGCCTGTTCTTTCTTTCCACCAGGCTGACATGTACAAGAAAACGGGCTTTTCCAAACCCTCGTGCCAACTCCCATTTTCCAAATATTTCACACCTCTTCCTTTCCTCCGCAGTACCTCTCACTTAGCGTTCGAGAGCATCGGCGCCCCGAATACCAGTGAGAGTTGTTGTCTGTGACGCCGCCCCTAGAGGAAGCGCTATGAATGGCTGACTGTGGCTGCCACTCACTGCTGGGTAGACGTGACCGATGGACTCGCTCTGACGCCCGATGTGGATTTCGTCGTCGTCATCCTCTGTGGTTTTGCGGTACACTGGGTTGTCGAAGTTCATGCTCTTGGTGTTCTTGCGCCGCCAGTTGCGCCAGACCAGGTATCCACCGGTGCAGAGCAATCCGATGACCACTGTGGCAAGGATAGGGACTGCATGTGTTTAACACACACACAACAACAACACACGGCGGGAGCGTTAACACAGCCCGGGGACACAGAGCGGCGCTTTAAGCACTCACGCACAAACACACTGTTCACCTGAAGGCTCATTATTTTTCAGTTTTGGTTTTTGAAATGTTGTTTGCATAACAGCTTCTCAAAAATTTTAAAAACAAAACAAAACAAACAACAAAAAAAAAAACATGGAAATATTCGCCTTCTGGAAAACGTCCAGAGGTGCACAAGGAGATGAACCTGAAGGGGAAGCAGTCCACTTTTCTGAAACTGTTAGAAAAACTGGTGGCACTTTATGCATCTGTTTCTATAAATTTAGTGGGCTGAGCTTTTTATGTTTCATCCCCCGTATGTCTTCTGTATCTGCATTTTAAAAAATCTAAGCATTTATTAGAGAAACAATGAGCCTTCAAAGAGGAACTAATCATTCATTGCATTATATCCCCCCCTCAGCGTCACGAAACGATCAAAAACATGCACACACAATATGCAACATAAATGTCTGCATGGTACACATGCACATAAACATCATTCCAACACACACACACACACGTGGGCACACTGAACCAAACTGGCATTTTATATTAAATCTGTAACCATTCAAGCCCTGAAGACACTGATTATGACCTTGTTTTTGAATAAAAGCCCCACAAGGTTGCTTAATTGTCATCAGCATATAATCCTGGTGCGCATTGCTCAAAAAACAGAATTTTGGGCAATGATTTATAATTTTGTATTTTATTGCACCGAAAAATTAATATCTGGAGTGTCCGGATGGGGTTATGGGAGGAGAATAAGAAGAGGGTAAGAGGAGGAGAGAAGACGGGGAAAGGGTTGGGATTTGGAGGATTTGAGATAAGCGCCGTCTCTCCTCTTTCATTACCATATCAGCATAACTGCCCTGCAAGGACCTGTGTGTGTGTGTACAGTGCATGCTTTAGAGTTTTTGTATAATGAAAGCGCAAACACCCAAATCAGAGGTAAGTCAAGGAGGTTTGGATATGTGTGCCTGCATTCATAGATGTGTTTTCCTACGCTACAGTACGCCTGTCTAATTGCGACTTTATTAGATAGACACTTGAGATTCCTTCGTGGCTGGGTTGGAAACCCCAGCTCCTCCTTTGTTCTTCTCTAAATGCTCAATGGTTTAAAGGGAAAAAAAACAAAAAACCCATCAGCTTTCCTCTCATTTAGAAAATTTATCTCCAATGAGCGAGTGGCAAAACAGCCTGTCTTTGGCTAAAACTGATAATCATTGCTGGGCTGCTTCCCCTTACGGAGCTGTGGGTGGGTGTGGTGCATTACTGGGTATGAGCGGAGAGCTGGGGTGCAGAAATCCAGCCCGTGTGGACCTCCAACATTAATGTTTCAAAGCTGCTAAAAAAAAAAGATTTGTGGTGGCAATAAATGGGAGAAGGACAAAAAAAGGATAAAGCGGAAAGGGTTAATAGTCTCCGGGGTTATTTTAATGAGCTGATATTTCAACTATAGAGACTGGAAAGAGAAAAAAAAATAGCTTTACAATCTTTTAGCGCTCCCCTGAATTATCAAACTTGTTAATATTAGGGATGAAAGAGATCTCAATTAGTGGCATATGCTGCCACTATAAGGCCATTTGCACATTCAGCTGATTTCCCAGTCACGTTGGGCATGAAAGTATGAAATATTTCCATAAAATTCAATTTTCATTTTAATCGGAGCTAATAGAGTAGATTAACTTTTCTAAGCCGGTTTGATTGAAAGAACTACAATTGCCTTTTTCTGCCTTTGTAGAGGCGGCTTGATGGTTTTCTCTTTATTGCCTAAACAGACAACAGCATTATGTCTGAGGTCATTAGCTTCCTGCTCCAGGCCAAAAACACAATTTCATGGCATTAATCCACTTTTCTCTCCCCTCGTCTCCCGTAAAGCGGTATAACCCACTCTTAGTCCGCTCGGTCACAGAAATAGGTCAGAACATTGGCCTGATTGATACGATCTGATCAGAGCGGTGAACACGAGCAAAATGTACTAACAGCTGGTCGTGTGATGACAAAACCTGAATTGAATTTCACATTTGCTCAAATGTCATTAATAATGACATAATGTGCATATTACAGCGCCTGGCCGTTTACTGACAGAGGGGCTCACTTCCATGTAATGGCTTTTTCTAGCCATAGGCCACGAGGATGTTGCTGGATAATACCATACCTCAGTACATTTTTTCAATAGATGCGATACAATTTTATGCCTGAATCTCACTATTGAACCAGATATAATGTGTTGAATTGTTATTATTTTAATGAGAATGTTTTAGATTTAATCAGCCAGGTGAAACGCAAACATCCTAAAACCCAGGCACACGCACACAAACACATAACCTCATACTCACATTAACAACAAAACGCACGCAACATGCAGTTAAGCAGACTTGAAGGAGCGAGGAGGGAGAGGCAGGCAAGCAGAAAGCAAAGACAACACAGTGAGGGAGTCAACAGTACTCACCGATAGGAATGACTATCCCCAGAACAGCTACTGTGATGTTGTTACCTATGAGGTAGTGATCACTCGCAGCTGAGATGAACAGAAAGATGGAAGACAAGAAAAAAAGAGAATCAAACCAAGAAAAAGTTTTGCTTCAAACCCCACCAAGTGCCCTCCTAGAGAGCAAGAGAGATTTCAACACGGGAACATCAAAAGAAAGGCTGGAAAAGGATATTTGCATAATATAAGGGCAGAGAATCCATCTGATTTCAGTTTGGACTGCTGACTTTGTCTTCCCCAGCAGCATGTGTAAATGAAAAAGCCAATGAATCACACAGGGATGGCATAAAAATGCAGTGAGATGCCTTTTAATACACGAAGGAACAAATGCGTTTCCAGAAACCAATGCATCAGAATTTGTATGAATATAAGCAACGAGCACATGATCTCGCATTACTCCATTCTTTTTCTACGAGACATTTCAAAACTGTGTCACAATGCAATGCAGAAGACATTTATTCTGGACATGCTTTGCATCCTTACTCCCCTTCAGCTCTCACCCCAACAGGTCGGCGGGGGAGCTTTTGACATTAATCTCGCTCCCAACCCTCGTATTAGCAGCAGGCTAGCTGTTAGCCAAAAGTGTGATCAGATGGCTATAATGAAGTCTGGTAAGGAAGATTAACACAAGAGAGCACAGTGCTGGCCCTGCATACTGATTGGTTCATTCGACAAAGTGACTGTTCCAGTTCTATGGCTGGCAAAAAGAGACAGATGGCATGTGATGGATGTGACAGACAATGCAGATACAAATCATTCTTCATAAATTAAATCATATAGTGAATGAAATGCAAATAAATGCACACACGTGCGCACACACGAGAGCCACAAAAGGTGAAGCAACTTCAGACAGCGAGTTCTGAGTCAGCAGAAGCGAATTTTGGCTTTTATTAAGTGTGAGTGACGTCCAGTGGGTCCTACAGTAAGACTCAAAAAGGCAGATTAACTGAATCTCATTAAAGAAACTGCTCTGGAAGGAGGCTGTTCTGGAAAGGGAGGGCACTGAGAAAGGGAGAAGAAGAAGAAAAGGGGACAAAAGTCTCAATTTCATGAGGGTCATTCTTACTGGAGGGATTTTAATATCAAAACGTTTACTGCCACTTATTATTTAAATATAACTGTCAGGGTTAGAATGCTATATCCAGTACAATTAACAATGATTAATAAAACAGTATATCGTAAATATACTGCTCAAAAATATACTTTAAAAACACATCAGATCAATATCTGTACTGATATGGACTGGGTAATGTGTTAGGAATGAGAAGATGCCACATCGAAATGAAAATGATCAACCCACAGACGGCTGAATTCAAAGAGACCCTGAAAATCAAAGTGAAAAATGATGCAGCATGCTATTGCTGTTTTGTGGAAATTTCATTGCAGCATCTCAAAATGGTATGTGCTTGTACACATCCCTGACCAAGATGGGGCACACTCGTAACAGGACGACGGATGGCGTCCTGGGAGATCTGAACCAGGGCTTCACTGAACTCCTGGACAGTCTGAGGTGTGACCATACAGGATCGGATGAACCAAAACATAACATCCCAGAGGTCTTTTAGTGGATTTGGAACTGCCTGCACACTTTTATCACATGAGGTCAGGCATTGTCGCACACCAGAAGGAACCCAGGAACAAGTGCACCAGTGTAGGGTCTGACATTGGCTCCAAGGATTTCATCCTGGGAGCTAATAGCAGTCAGGGTGCCATTGCCTAGCCTGTAGAGGTCTGTGCCCCCAGACCATTACTAACCCGCCACCAAACCTGTCATCTGGACGTTGTTACGGGCAGCATCATGGCTTCTACAGACTCTTTCATATCTGTCACACGTCTGTTTTTTTTGTTTTTTTCCCCAAAATCTTGAAATTAATTTTCTTTAATGTTGCTGAAAGATGTGCAAAATTACTACCGATATCAAAAGAAAACATTGGTTACCAGCTGTGTTTAATCTTTGCCCTCCCCAATCAGACTCCTGGTTCTCCCTCGCCCCACCATGCCCTCCCTCCCTCCCCCCAGCAGCGTGTAACAGCTGATGCCGGCAAACTTGACAGTGTGCACCGAGTTGAAAATTATAACACATGGCCCGTGGGTTTGGAGACTCGTCTTGTTCATGCCCCATTTTTCTCATCTGTGTCTGCTCCACCTCTCATCTGGAGCACTTGTGGTGTGCTGAGGAGGGCTGACAACTTCAGAGACCGGAAGAAACGTGCCTCTCGCCTCTTAGTAACTCTGAAGTACCGCGACCCCTAAAGTAATACAGCAGGCAACCTCTTTAATTCCCAGAAAATCACTTTCTCTCCCGCCTCTTTTTCCATCCCGTCGTTTCATATCCATGTAAATGCCGCCTTTCCTCCCAACAGTGTGTCATCTACAACTCCCATCCTCCCCGTTAAAGTGCTGGACTGTCATGTTCTTTTTCGCTCTCTGTTCACTCTTTGTTCTCTGTGGCTTTACTGTCTCACACTGCACGTTTTTGTTTTTTTCATTTAACATTCCTTCGTTTTACTCCTTGCTCCGTTTCTCATTCATTTCCCTGTCCTCCAACTCCCACTTAAAACTTTCATCATCTTTCCCTGTTTCTCTCCATCTGTACAGCTTTTTTTCATCCTCAACACCTGCTCTTTTAATTCTTTTTTCTCTCCTCTAAATTACTTGTTAGAATGACATAAAGATATACAAGTATTACGATAAGTGTTTTAGTGTTAATCTTTCTTTTAGGGCATTTAAATAGTGCACAGACCCATTATCTGACATAAATATATATTCATCTAAAGAGTCAGTATTAAAAAGGGAACCTTTTTCATTTTCTTAGAAACAAAAGACAAAATAAAAAGCTGCCTCGGCAGGTTGACTGTCTCAATTTAATATTGCCATGCAGTAAAAAAGCTAAGAAGACTTTCAAAACAACTGCTGAAAAATACTGATCTCACAATTTGGTGGCTTCATCAATTTTGCTGCGTGGTGCTATCAAGGATTCTCGTCCGCTTCCAAGTACAATTTAATTCTTAGCGTGGCTTTGTAAACCATTGTTACGGCTGTTAGTCTGCTGTCACTGTTTGTCTGGGCTGCAAAGTGGTATTTTTCTTGCGAGCCAGTGAAGCGTGATTGGCGCGAGAATGAAGAACACTGCCAGTTATAGAAAGAGAGCGAGCGAGAGCTAAAGAGAGAAGGGGAGAGAGGTACAGAGGGAGAGACCAAGACAGAGATAAAGACAAAGAGAGTAAGAGAGAGGCTGTCAGAAAGTGAGGATGAGTGATGAGTAGTTTTATGCGAGAATGGAGGGGACTGTCATTTCTTAGCTCTGACACTTCTGTTAAGACGCTGGTCGCGAGGGATCAACAGTAAGCAGACCGAGACATAGTGCAGGCCTGTGAAGCGTTCGGACGGGTGTGTGAGCAGATGAGAAAAGGAATAGAGGAGGAGGTCGTAGGGCCAGTAAAGCAAATGATCAGAGGGAAAAGTGGAGGGGAGGAGAAGCTAGAGAAAGGAGGGATAAAAGTATTGGTTTTTAGCTTCCTGCTGATTTAATGATGGTGGTAACAGCAGTGATGGTAGCAGAGCAGAAGAAAACACTCGCTTTACACACATCCACATTCCTGTCATCATGTCACTTACCTCTGTGGGAGAGGTTGGCATTGCTCTCTTTCTGAATGCTGTTGGGAGCCACGGCAGCCAATAAGGGGGTGTGTGTGGACGTGGACTTCTGACTAGTGCTGCTCAAACTGGTCGTCTCTGTACTGGTAGCGGCAGGAGTCCGAGGGTGCTCTGTGATTCTGCCGCTCCTGGTGGTCTGAGGAGGGGCTGGTGTTGTAGTCTTGGCTGTGGGTGGTAATGTGGTAGTAGCAGAGGTGGTGGTGGTGGTGGTGGTGGTGGTAGAGGGTGTTGTGGTCGTGGCAACGGTTGTGGGAGTTGTTGTTGTTGTGCTTGTTGTGGTGGTCGTCGTGGAAGTTGTGGTTGCGGTGGAGGCAGATGTCGTGGTTGCCCGGGGTCGAACTGCGCAACAGAAAAACAACCAGTAGGATTTGAGATTTCTCTCCAGACTGCTCAGCTGTTGCAGCCATTTCCACTTGTAAGCTCTGCATCAATATTCAGCATACAACTGCAGTCAACAGCAATGCCTCCATTGTCTTATAAGATGAGATCTATAATCTCTTCTGAGGGTTCTGGGTCTACCATGGGGTCTCCTACCAGGAGCGCGCCTGCAAAACCTCCAAAAGGAGGCATCCATGAGGCATCCAAAATAGATGCTCAGCTGGTGTGTTTGATACGCAGGAGCAGCGGCTCTACTCTAAGGTCCCTCCAGAAGTCCAAGCTCCTCAGTGTCTCATCTCTAAAGCTGAGCCCAACCACCTTATAGAGGAAATTCATTTTAGGTGCTTGTATTCATGATCTTACTCAGATTTCATGACCATAATCTCATAAACTGAAGTCTGTAGATCTTACATCACACCACAGGTTTGGATTGAGACATAAATGGATCAGTAAATGAAAAGCTTCACGTTTCAGCTTTCAGCTGCACCACAGCAGTCCGGTATAACACCTGTGTTACTGCTAATCAGAAGTGTGACACTTTAAAGTCCTGTACAGCACCACATAGGTACCGTGACAGGTACTGTGATATTTCTATGTACATACTGTGCTAAAGTGCATTCACACATTCATAAGTAACAAGTTGCCAGATGGATAAGTTGCACAAGCGCATAATAAGCAGAATTTAGTGCAAGCGTTGCAGTCAGTTGTTGCAAACATCATATCACATCACAAGAAATGATCTGAGAAAACACTACGTTGTTAAAGCAGATGTACTACACCAGTACGTTTGGTTCATAGTGTACTACATGTACTAAAAGAAGTATTCAAGTCAGGGATTTTAGCTGAAGCTAAATTACACCACATGTCACCCCAGGCTCTTCCTCTGATCACTGTTTTTTTTTTTTTTTGGTGTATCAGATTTACACAAATCCCAGTGCACACACTGCTGCTGATATAACATTCGGGTTTGTGTTTTCTAAACATTATTTTTAATATAAGTGATATGCGTTTCTTTGTGGTTGTAAAACTGAAATTTTGATCCAATACGGTCACAATTAAACCAGTGAGTTTTTCCACCAGAAATGTTTGTGTTATAGTAAGAATCCAAAAAGCTTTGGTACAAATGCACTCACTGCCCCTGCACCTACTCCCAGCCTCTCTCACAGGGATTCTTTGAATTATTGCCTCAATACATCTTCATCGTCTCTTTCCCCCCGTTTCTCTGTGTCAGCTCCTCCTAGCTCACCTATATAGACATTAGGTGTAGGTCTAGTAAAAATAGCAACGTTACAAATGTAGTGACTCTATAAGGGCAGGGGGACAAGCTGACTGATGAAATAAGGTCAGCGAGGTAGGTTAGAAGTGCAGGGAAGAGTCCCTGACCTAGTTCCCAAGATAGTTTTACACAACACTTAAGGTTCAGATTCTCTGAAGGATCCAGGGCACTTTTAGCTTTGTAAACGTTGTACTGTTAAATTGCAGACATTGAAAAATACTGTATTTGGAGTATCCAAAGTATTATGACTTAAAACAAATAGAAACAGTATAAATAGAAACGCTTTATATTTAGAATTTTAAATATTTGTGCTTAAATATGACCCAAAAGATGATCAGACTTTAACACTAGTCACACAGACGAACATAACTCAAATAAATAAATGAGACAAAAATATTCTTGGTAATTTAATCCAGTATTACACGGCTTGCATGTTTGTGGGTTTATTCAAATGAACTTCAGGTCTTTCCAAAATATTTCTGTCAGGTTAAGTTTGACTTAGAAACAAGCTCATTCCAAATAATTTTACTTATACATAGAATGACTTGTGTGCTTCGTTCTTGCAGCCTTGCTGTGCACCACTGCTGTTCTATGTTGTACTGATGGAGTAGCTGAGAAGTTAGCCTGGATTCTTTGTGCTTGTAAAAGAATTTAGGAACCGGAGAAAATTCAGGCCTTACTATTGGACTGATCACTGTTAGCCAACGACCCCTGAGAATGGCAACAATGCTCCTGAATTTCACTGTGATCCTAGCAGCGTGAATCTCATGTGACATTTATCCACACGAATCATTCATTCAGGTGTGCCTGTGGAATGTAGACTTACTGATCGCGCAGCGTCTCATGTCTGGTCCTAGCTCCATGCCGTCAGGACAGGCGCAGGTGTACTTGGGGGAGTGGTCTGTGATCTGAGGCGCCTTCAGGCAGAGGTACTCGCAGCCACCATTAGGCAGTGTGCCCATATTACAGGTATCAGGACCTTTGGGAACACAGGCAGAAATGTAAAAATATTAAAAAAGACTTTTGGCAACACATTTATCTCTTGGAAAACAATAAAACCCCAAATGTTTTATTAACGAGCTGTACTGGAAAAGGAAAAAAAACTTGCACAAAGCCCAAATCTCAACAGCCCAAATTTTATTCAAATTAGAACAAAGAAAATATATCAAAGGTTTAAAATTACAGAATGTACAATTGTAACAAAAAAATAAGGCCACTTTGAATTTGATGGCAATAACTAGTCTTAAAAAAAGTTGGGACACGGGTAAGAAAAGGCTGCAAAAGTAAGTGCTAATGAAAAAGAACCAGCTGGAGAAACATTTTGCAACTAATTATGTTAACTGGAAACATGTCAGTAACACGACTGGGGATAATCATGTTATATTATATCATCTCGCAGATGCTGAGGTTCATCAATCTGCAGAAAAAACACATGAAAAACTGGATGAACCTAAGAAAAAGAAAAACCAGCATCAAATTTGACACGTAGGCGCCGGTATCTCATCAGTAAAAAGTTTCTGCTGCCATCAAACTATTAACTAGTTTGATGCTAGATTTAGGAATCTAATCTTTATTCCACACACTTCCTCTTGCTGACTTTAGAGATGCGTAGGTGAATGCAGGAGAGTCTCAACTGCTTTTAATCTCTGTAACCCAAATAAAAAATTTACATGTAGTTTCTTAAGCACAGTTGCAGACTCATGGAAAAACACTGCAGTTTTGTGTCATGTGGGGAAGCGCGAGAATTAGGTCAGGTCGCAATCTTTCCTGATTTCTTATGTAGCTTTGGAGAGCAGCACGCCATCAGCTGTCAGGAAAAACAGCAATATCACTTGCTACACAGAGTGAGATTTTAATAAGCTGGGAATACATTTATACTTGATGTACAGTATCTCAGCATAATGACTATGTAATGAGAACAGCTGTCTAAGTTCTCAAAGCTCCAAATGTGGTAAAAGGTTTGGGAAGGAGTCATCAAACTGGGGAGGATGGGAAAAAAAGGTTAAGGAAGAGTGTAGGAAGGAAAGAAGAAAACAGAGGAGGAGAGAGAGGGAGGCAAGAGAAAAGTGAACGAAAATGATGAGGATGAGGATGAAGAAGGAAAAAAGAAGGACCAAGATGATAACAACAACAAAATTATGTTGGTTTTAAGCCATAAAAGCGTCACTTTCTCCTCCTGCGCTGCCTCTCTTTGGTCTCCAACTAAGAAGAGTGAACCTAGGCTTCAAAGACCCACTGAGCGCACAAAAAATTAATAATAAAACAGACACAACTTGGGAAGGATCGGACGAAAGCCTCTTTTAAGGAAGTGTGTCGATAAACATGAAAGACATCTGAGCGCCTCGAAATATGTGGAGACGCACAGTACTGTACCAAACCACACTTACAGATAATATTCCTCACTGGGGTTTTCCTTAGGTGCAGTACACTAACAAATAAGAAATGATACAAAAATGCAAGAGAAACAAAGATAAATCGGTAAAAGACAGGGCAGAGAGGAGTCTGAACTCACCAAGCGTTGCAGTCGAGGTCACATTTTATCAAATACTTTGCTTATCAATGCTACTCGTGTGCTTGGGGGGCTACTCGGTGCACCTTCACTTAGCCTTGCAGTGTTTTGTCTTGCTTTTGTTGGTATTTGGGAGAAAACATTTTCCAATTCTGTGACTTCTTTTTTTGACCAGGACTCTTGATTTATTAATGAGGGAATGCAATTAGCTGCCTGCTGGCGCACAGACAAGATTGCTTCTGAGCGCTCAGTGAGTGAGGAGAGAAAACAAAGCATGAAAACACTCGCACAAACACATTTCTGGCACGCAGTGTCAAACACACCCAGGTATTCACAAGCAGAGGTGTTGACAGGCACACACGCGTGCGTGCAGTCACACACATCGAGAGTGCAAAAAAAAAAAAGACAAACACATCGTTTTGACGTGCCCGTCACATCCACCGGTCTAATCACACTCATCAGATTATCTGTTTATTGTTTCAGACCGTTTCACTAAGTGGATCCTCGTGTCTATGTGCTGATAATGCAATGCTTTGTACTCAGGAAGGAGGTTAGATTTTGTGTATCCTGTGTGCACATACGCCCCAAAATCCTGCTCATTATACCGAACAAGATCCTGCACGCTTACGAGTGGCAAACAGCACCTAGACAGAGACTGGGCAGTATGACAGACTGAAAACGAAACGGACATTTTGACTTATTTGAGGTCATCTGGGACAGCCCCACTTAGATCACCTGTGCTAAGCTTCTATGTGTTTCTTCTTCTTACCCTTGGGCTGCCTCTGTTCATGAAACACCACCAGGTCCAGGGGGTTGTTAAGGTCCTCTGCGACCTTGGCCACATCGTGTCCCGTCAGTCGGTTGGCGCTGTATATCGCTTCATCTTCCAAGTCTGTCCAATACACGCGATCCTGGGTTAAAATAAAGCAAAGTCAGCTTGAGAAATACACAAATAAATAAAAAGCCCTAAACCAGCCTTGATGATTAACGATCAACCTATTAAAAAAAAAAGAAGAATAAATGAAAGATATCTCAGCTAATGCCACAGATAATGTTATAAAGCCACATGCATGTTGCAGATCCAGAACTGCTTGCGCTGTACCACTTGAGATCGGACACTTTCCTAATCAAATGGCAGTGATGACGAGATATATTTCATATTTCAGTAACAGAACACTTACAAAAATGTTTTCTCTAAAGAGGGCGTCATTCTAGGGTTTTATAAAGCTGTTGTTGCTTATCATTTTCAGAGTCCAGTGATTCTGTAATTCAGAACCGTGAGACCTCAAGTATGGAGCAAACATGCTGCAAATGAGCATAATCTGCATACAACTTTAGAATAAATGGCTTTTCATAAACACCATTTGTCTCTGCTTAGAAGCTGTGCACTGATATTCATTGTAGTCACCGTTAATTTAAAAAAAAAAAAAAAAGGAAGAAAAAAAGCCAGTCTGCTGCAAAGAAATGTCCTCATCCCAACAATGGCTATTTGATTAAATTTACGATTACATTTGAGGATGTGTTGTGGTTTACTTGAATAGAGAGGTGTTTTATATCCAAGGTAACTGGTTAATTTTTCAAAAATGCAATAAACCCCCCCCATTCTACCATCTTTACCCTCCAGCACTCCAGGTATTTAAAATTATAGCCAGTCTCTCTCTTCTCTGGTAAAAATAATCAGCCCCAAATAAACTTAAAAACAGAGTCACATTACTTCAATTTGCCAGAGAAGAAAGCCCAGGTGGCACTCTTTGCTAATTTCTATTTTTAACCACCCTAATTATAACAGCTACTTAACAAATACAAGGACACAGAGGAGGCGTGGCATCTCTTGGAGACGGTTTAGTTAAAATAAGCCACCTACTCTGTGCTCGGTGGGTGAAAAGGGGAGCAGTGTTTACTTAAAAAAACAACAAAAAACAGTAAAAACACAGTTTTAAGTCTGTAAGGAAGTTGCATGCTTGATAAGAAAAAAACAGCCCCGGTGTTTTATTGGAAAAACGTCTGTACCTTTGACTCTCTGTTTAAGCTTTGTGCCAAAGCAGAAGGTAGTGACTGCTTTGGCGGAGCGTACGGTGTCTTTGTAGTCCTAGCTCAGCTTCCTTCTCAATTTCCCTTCCGCTCTTTCACACCTGCTCATTATTCTCTTTAATGATACTACACAATATAACCGCACAAGTGCTCACGGCACTTGGTTTCCACAGCAACCCCAGACGGCTTTGTCTTTGCAAGCACACATCAATTAAGAAAAAACAGAAAAATGCAGCAAATGACTGCACGAGAAAACACAGACAGGCTGATATCATGGAAAGCTCGATAAAACAATGAAGAGACAATTTAGGAGGTGAGTGTGAGACGGAGAGACCAATCAGGAAGAGTGTCTGCAGGTTTTTTCGTCGTTACAGGGAGGATGTATTTTTATCATCTTTTTAAAGGCAAAGACCTGCAAGACTTGTATGGTGTGCGGGTATGTGTGTGTCCGTGTGTGGGGCTTAGTCACAGCAGCCATCCATGCTTTTTGTGCCGTATTATCAGTGGACTTGACCTCTCTCTCTCACCTTCCCCCCCCATCTTTCAGTGAGCTCTCTATCACTCAATCTCTCCCTCACTTAGGTTCTGATAACCTTTACTCATATGACAGTAGTTCTGAAACAATGAAAGACAAATATCAGCCACGCTGATAAAACACTACTCAAATCTATTATTCCATCTCTTCTTTTTGCTTCTCTCGCTCTCTGTCTTGATTTCCACCTCAGCAGTCAGTCTCTGACATTGTTTTCCCCTTTTTACTTTCTCCACTGTCAATCTTTCCGCGCGCCGCTTGTGACCTTGAAGCTTCAAACAGCAGCACAAAACCTGAGAAGGGCAGTGCTCTTCAATTGTAGGATCAAGGTACATCTTTTATGTTTTGAAGGATAGGCCAGAAGTTATACACAAAGCGCACGCAGACTTGCTCCCATGAACACATGGCGCCACATCACATCAGATGGAGCTGCAACTCGGGGGGAGTGAGAGCACGTCTAAATTTATATGGAGCCATTTTTGAGTCGAGGGAAAGCAGCCCTTTATGATTTTGCTGCGATTCTATCCCAGAAGAATATGCGTCGGGGCTGTCTGACACATCTGTCTGATGAGCTTCAGGTGCCTACTGGATACCTGGATGTTATGCATGAAAACTACAAATGAAAGCTCAAACAAAGCCAACCCACTCGCCTGTTGAGGATTTGATTTGATTTTTTTTTTATGGGTTTGATCTGCATTCTTTGGCATAATTAGCCAAGTTCTGAAAAAATAATGTGGGGGCTTTTTCGGTAAATCATTTAATTTCCAATAAGCTGCAAAAGAGAATTTTTTCCCATGTGCACGTTACAACGTGTCTCTAGTTATGTGAGCTGACTAGTTTTCTTATTTGGGCTGTAGATATGGACAGAGAGGGCCTGACGGACGTCTTTGTCAGGTTTTTAGAAATTAAAGCTTTGATCACATGTCATTTGACTGCCCCTGTTTTCACATAGAGCCTTTAAAATTTAAATCTTTACATATTACTCCAGTTTTTATTTCTTTCAACCACTACTTCTCTTCTCAATCCCATCCCACCTTCTCTTCTATCTCCTTCCTGTCAAGAGCTGAAAAAGAGACAACATTACTCTCTGCAAGCTTCTGCGATCTACATCTCCTCGGGGCTTGGCATGTAGGCAGGCGGTCGGCACTAACTGGTAGAGTTTACATGCGTGTGTCTGTTCAGGGTTTGATACAGAGGCCCCGCATCTTTCTCTGCAGTGCTGAGAAAACCCGTTCGCTCATCAGCATCAAAACGAAGTCTGCAGATGACACACTCGAGTGTAATGACTTGTAGCGTTCACTGTATCGCTCAGGAATATGAGGAGCTGGAATAAACCGTACGCCGCACATGAGTTGACAACTCATATCTCACATGCTCAGAAGAGCATCTATATGGATGTGCATGTGAAAGAAATGGATGCTTAAGAGCTGTGGGCTTGTGGTTTTTGTTATGCTTGTGCATAATCAAATGTGGCTAAATGTCAGAAACATTTTCTCTGCATGCGAGAAAACATGTGAGGATGACTGATTTGGGGTTACACAGTCCCCACAACAATTCCCGCTCACAATAAGTTTCTACAGTTTTCACAAAGTTTTACATGTGATCCCCCAGGTCTTATTATTGTGGATTTGTCTTAACTGAAACTTACCGAACAGTGTATGAGCTAAATGTGAACATTTTACAGTTACTTTGTTTTTAACTAAAGAATAGGAAGAGTTAAACTAACGTTTGCTTAATTTATACTATTTAAGAATCAGCTGCAACACAAGTAAGTGCACTCTTTGTTAGCATGGCTCCAATATTTGATTCACCAGTCCACTTTCTTCCACTCAGGGACAGACACTATGGGCAGAGAACCATTCGTGCTCACATTCACACCTACAACCAATTAAAATCACCAACCTAAGCTTCACCCAACCCCATACATGACTGTGAACTGTGGGAGGAAGCTGGAGTATGTGGAGGGAATCGACACAGCCACAGGTAGATCGTGCAAATTCCACACAGAAAGGCCTCAGCCTAGATTTAAACCCAAGACCAACTAAAGCGAGGCGACAGTCCTACCACAGCAACACCGTGCAACTCGTGCATGCTGTAATATTTTTTACTCTCTCTTCTTTTACGTTTAATAAAACTCAAACTTCCTGGGCATGGATGACACCAGTTTTAAATATTTTGCATGAGTGACTCTGTGGAAATGTGTTCTGCCATTCTCGACACAGATGATTCTTTGCAGGTGCTCTTTGCTGGAGGTGTTGTTTTTCTTGCTCCACAGTCCACCTTAAAATACTCCAACTGTTCTGCTGAATTTGAGGCAGGACACACAGGCCACAGCTTTCACTTTTTTCATTCTATAAAAACTTGTGTTTGAAATTGCTATGTTTCGGCTGGAGAAAATGTTGTCCCTGCAAAGCATCTTCACACTAGGAGTCTGTTCATTCAGTGTAAACTTGGGTATAGACTTGCCTTTGCTATCCATCTACAAATGGCTACAAATGGTAGATTCATTTTAAAGAGAGCGACTTAACATCAACCAAAAATACAGAAAAAACACATCACATAAAAGTTCTAAACTGATTAGTATATAATTGAGTATTTGATCCCCAAGCAAAACATGACTTAGTTCCTGTCTTGTTGTTTCATGGAGTTGGTTTGCACACATCTCAGGAGGGATTTTGGCCAGAAACTCTCTAAAGTCTTTAGGCTTCTTGGGAACTTTTCTATAGGACTTTATTCTGTCTCTCTCCATTAAAATGAATTATATCAGTGCATATCAGTACACTGCACTCCATATTTTCTGCACTGTGCAGTAAGTGTGCTTGTCCTGGTCAGGTCTATGCTGCAGGCTTACCTTGTATCACATCTGCAGGACGGGCACTGTGCCTTCTGTTATTGGGAGTATGCCCCATCCTGTCCCTCCTTACTGATGCTGCAAGCGTGTTTCTGTTTCTGTTCAGTAGCCTAGAACAGTAGCCCTTTTATCCTATCCTATCTTTATGAAGTATCACAGCTGGTGCCTTACTTGTTAGAGCATTTCCTTAAAGCCAGAATGATCAAAAACGTTCAGTGTTTTAGTTCAAAATTTGAACGATGCAATTCTAAAAGTAACAAACTTCCCATTATCGGTCTGTAGGCACCGTGACATCCTCCTGTGCTGCTAAAGGTTTTTAATTTGGTCTATATCATAACCAGAGCAGAAGAAAGACCAGAAGAGCCGAGAGCTATTAATCTCCTGGGGTGAACTTTCACTGCTGCTCGAAACATCACAAACACAGACGCGCACACCCTCACGCGCTCTCAGCTGGGCATGATGGATGTCCCTTCTTCCCTTTGCTTTCCCATCATCACACACAGTGTGTGCAGCAAAGAGGGGAATGGAGCAAACACTACTTACTGATCACATTTTCACCTACCACTTTCCCCACCTTCACCCTTGCTCTCTCCTCCCTCCTCCAGTTGTTTTCCACCTTCCACACCATCATCTATGCTTGATGGGCCCTAACGTACCGATTCACTCCCACCTCAATAAATACACCCAAATTAGTTTTATTGATTGATGCACTCTATTGTGACTCTACACTCGTCAGCAAACAAACAACAATTCCTTCTCTGGATTTATCCTGCTTCTATACTTCTATAACATCTCCATTTCTTTTCAGTCAGTCAGCCATGTCCCTGCACTGACTCATCTCTCCCCCTCTAGTTCTCGCACGTCTTTTACTGCTAGTACACTTTGAAAATGTGTGTCAGTCCTCCATTTATGACGATGAACAAGCATAGTAATAAATGGCATCAAAACAGTATACTTAAAAACCCACTGCTAAAATTTTGCTCACTGCAAGTCTAGAAATACGCAACCATGTTGGGAATCAACAGACAAGATATGATTGTCACTTACAAGGCAGCGATAACTGATCTGAGACCCCTTTGGTGTGTGTGTGTGTGTTTACATTTATTTTGGGAGTGAAATAAGAACTTCTGGATCTTGTTTACCTTCCAGGTAAAGCCTCCCACTAACTCTATTAGGAAATAAAGAAAAAGCGTGCTGTGTATGTCCATATATACTTAAAAAGAGTTCTGCATTCTTCACATTTATTTAAGAAACTTTAAGCAAACTGATTTCAAATTAAACCCAACCCTAAACCAAAATTATATAAGACATACACTGAGAAATTTAATCTAACCAAGGACATTAACCAAGACAGAAACCCTACGCATGAACATATTTTACTGTCAGCTAAGAACAGGAAACTGAGGCTACAGCGTACACAGGCTCACCAAAACTGGACAACACAAGATTAGGATAATGATCCCCGATCTGATGAGTCTTAGTTTCTGCTGCTACATTCGGATTGTAAAGTCAGAATTTGGCATAAATAAAATGAAAGCAAGAATCCATCCCGCCTTATATCAACAGTTCAGTCTGGTGGTGATGAAATAGTGCAGGGGAAAGTTCTTGGCATTCGTTGGTCCCTACCCTCTACTAACTTATGAGTATTGTTGGTGACCATATCCATCCCTTTACGACCACAGTGTACTCATCTTCTGATGGCTGCTTCCAGCAGCATAATTCTCCATACCATGCCACTCAAATAATCTCAAACTGGTTTCTTGAAAATGACAGGGAGTTCGCCATACAAAAATGGCTTCCACGGTCACCAGACCAAAAAAGGACCTTTGGGATGTGGTAGCACAAAAGATTCACATCTAACTGTTTGATGCCTTCATGCCAATATGGACCAAAATCGTAGGAATGTTTCCAGCTCCAACCCTTAGTGGCAAGGTGTACCTAATAAACTGTTCAGCATATATTTCAATAGGTATACAGCTAGAGCAGAAAATATATCCCTGTATGATGATATAGTCTAATGATGAATTATTACATTAGCATAAACTAAAATTTGCCCAAAAGGTTGGAAACGAAACAAAACACTGCACACTTTCAAAAATGCATATTACAGAAACAGCTGTATGCACCAGACCAGAGCTCTGGCATTACCGCCTGGTCTGATTCTTTGCATTTGAATCTCAATTCTCAACTGCTATACCTCAAAGACAGTGAGGGCAAAGGGATGGCCCAGGGGGTGATGCGAGGAGAGCAGCACTTTGCGGTTGTCACCATTGAAATCCACGCTGGACAGCAGGTGCAGCTTGGAGTCCACCCAGTAAAGTCGTCTGTTGGACAAGTCTGAGAACATGCAGGGAAGGGGGGAGAGCGAGAGAGAACAAAATCAAGAGGGGGTAGGGGAGAAGGTGAATGGAGAGAGAGAGAGAGGTCACTCAGAGTGAAACGGCCCAGGGTGAGGGGTATATGGATGTAATGGCCCAGTAGCTACACAATCAATCTTCTTTGACATGACGACCTCAGCCCCGTACTAAGAAAACACAGATGTGATTGTAATATTGCCGCTTGACTTCTTTGCTGGAGAAAATATATATGCCCTTGAACAGATTCATTAGTCTTGCTGGACCTATTTTAAAGACAAACTTTGCTGTTTCGCAAATCTCAAATAACTCCACATTTCAGCCACTGCTATATTATTTATATTAGGCCCAAATCATTGTTGTGTCCTTGCTATGAGCGGCAAAGTGTTGTGGTGTTTACTTTGAAATCGAAACACCACATTGAATTTAAACAGCAAAGGAAATAATCCCTGTATTACTCTTTTTTCACCAGACTCTAAGATTATGCTTTTAAGAAAAACATTTAAAAAACAGAAAGCAAGAATTTAATTAGTAATTAACAAAGAATTAAGCTTTTGTGTGCAATAAGCAATTCGAAATTGGTAAAACACTGGAAGTATATGAAAAAAAAGCATCCAATAAAAGCACCAAAGTAAACTGAAGGGGGAAGAGAATTAACACGATTCTCTGTCCCCATTCACCTCTCCTGACTCAATCACCTGCACTGTTCGGTGGTCTCTATGAAATCAATGACCAGGGGAACACAATTCACCCTCTCTCTCCCACAGCCGCCTGGCGCCAAACCTCTCATTCGCCTTATTCCAAAAAATAATTTGTTTTCATACAGATGCGGCGACACCTCAATTCCACAGAGTGTGGCGACTGTGTGCTTCTATTTCTCCTCAGGCAAGGGCAGCTGAGAGGAATTGGCTGGTGCTTCGGAGGGAGTTGAAAGGGATGAGGGGAGGTATCGACAGCACAGAGCGTCTGGCTTATTAATTCGGAGCCTCATACTCACTGGCTTGATTGATGAGAGCCAGACACAAACTGAGGTATATAGCAATAAGAGCTACTTGGGTTTCAGCACCCATAGACTATTTTCTTCTCTCAACTTGTGCTGTTTGTCTCTCTCTGGCTTTCCTCCATGTGTTGTTTTTTTTCTTTGTGCTGAATTCACTCGAGACACTTTTTTCTCTCTCTCTCTAAAAGCAATGTCAGCATAATAACTTTTTTTTTTTTTTTTTTTTTTAACAAAACTGCTGTCAGAGCTGATTGATTTTTTCTATCTGGGCATCATCTTCTAGCTTTTCATCCTTCTTCCGTGGGCTTTGAATGTTCAAAGCTACATGTTTTTTTCCTTACCTAGAGTTATTCCATTGGGCCATTCAATGTGTTCAGACACCAAAATTTGTCTATCCACTCCATTCATCCCAGCCTTCTCAATTTTGGCCTGACCTCCCCAGTCTGACCAGTACATAAACCTGCGGGAAGATACACAAGTTAGATTAAATTGAAGCAGCAACCTCGGAGGCTGAGAAATCAAGCCAACGTGACCTGCCTGCATTCTCTCTGAGGGCCACCAGATGGTGATAGCTGTGGTTGTAAAAGAGACCTGAAGTCTTACAGAAGGCTACGAGAAATGGCTTTCTGATTTTACTCATTTGTTTTGGGTCATACTGAATAAAATATCAACTGAAATATTTTGTAACCATGTTACAAAATGATATAAAAACCGCACACTTGATGGCTAATAGCTGTCCATCAGAAGTCATTAGCCAATGATTGTGCGGTTTCACACTTGACTTCTTGTCAACTCGGGTTTTTTGCCAACCAAGCTGGTGATGGCAAAAGCTTCAATACAATATGGCACTTCAGAAACCAATGTGTGGCTATCTGTGGCTGAGTGCCTAGCTTTAGAGCAGGGGTGAAAAAAGTTTCTAGCTTGGTATAAAAAGTAATTTTCCACTTTTGTGACATCTTTACATTTCATCCCTTTATAGGGGCTTAAAGTATTAATACTTAAAGTTGTGAATTATTAGTGCTGTGGAGCGTGACGCTTGAATGCAGGCGGTTGTAGCACCAACTCGCGGCAAGGCTTCAACTTCCGCTACTTCAAGTCATTGAACTGGACCTTTTTGTTTCTGCGTTTGTGACCTTTTGAACTTTTAATACAATCATCTAACAAATAATATGGCTTCCTGTGTGCTCTACTTTTGGTGAGTGAAAGCTAGTATTTTATTTGTCTGTTACTTAATAACTAGCAGCTTATCTGTGTGTCTAGCTAGCATTAGCTGATAACTTAACATACAGCTTATCACCTAAATACAGTCCAAAACCAGTGAGAGATGCCATTGTTCATCTTTATATACATGTTGTATCATTAAGGCACAGCCAGTTCAGTGTCAGAAATGAAAGGAGTAACTTTGCTAGGACCAGTGAAGAGAGGTTAATATGCAATGTCAATTGTTCTGAAAAACTCTTAACTGACAAAATCAACTGTACTCCGTCACACGATGTTCCACAGACATCTTCTCTCATTTTCTTTGCAAAATGACTGTATTATTAGTAAGACAGGCATTGAAAACATAAAAGGGAAAGCACTGTGCAAAACAGCAGGTACTGGAAACTTGGACCTTATCTGAATATGTGTGTCCATGATAAAACTGAAATCGTGGCTTCATTTGCATGTATTTCATGCTAGTCTAGCTTTGTAGAGCTGTGAAAAGACGTCTTTGGGGAGCTCAAGGCACCCGAGACAAATGGAAAGAGTTAGAAAGGGAAGACAAAGTGTTACATCCCATCTCAAGAAAACTGTTAAAGTGCTTAATCTAACAGATGGGCTCAGTGCTACAAATAGCCTTTACTGACTTTAGGCCAACTTCTACACCCAATCTCTTTCTACTATAACAACACTGGCTTTTACAGACACACACACAATGACAGTAGGACCTCTTACTCGCCCTCCCTCCTTCCTGCCTTTTTGCTCAACTCCTTTGCAATCTTTTGCTCCTTTGTGCATCTTTTCAAAATCCTTTTACCCTAAAACTAACCCAACTCACCCTTGGTGCGGATCCACAGCGATGGCTCGTGGCTCGTTCAGCTCGGTGGTTATGAGCATTTTCCTTTTCCTGCCATCTCCCGTAGCGACAGATATGCTCTTATTGCCTGAGTCCGTCCAGTAGATGTTCTTGTGGACCCAGTCGACAGCAAGGCCCTCCGGGGAGTGGAGCAAATCGATGAGCGTCACCTGCTGTGATGAGTCACTGGCCTTGTTGATGTAAGCGCTGGTGGGCGGATGGAAAGGAAATGTATCAGTAAGTAATCTGGAAATTATAAAAGCCTAATCCATCACAGAGGTGCTGGCACGATGGATTTACTACCGTCTGGCTTCCTTTCCTTGGGAGGAATGACTTGATTGTGAGTGGCTTAGATATCTTGTTGGGAACATAGATTCTTCACTCTATTCAGGTGTGAGGGGCACCCAATCCTGACACCTTTATAACAACTTCAGCCTTCACACCAAACACAGCCTCCCAGGGAGAATGAGTCTGTCTTTTTCTATCAGCACCACATGCCTATATCTCCCCTTTAACCGAGTGTCCCTTTCTTGTCTTCAGTTTCTTTGATTTTCCTACTCCGTCCACTTACTCTGTCAACTCTTCTATCCCCATTCCCCACTGACATTTCCTTTACTGGTGAAAAATGTTAAAACTTAATAGATTACTGCCTCGACAATATATGAATGCAAGAGCAAGATGGAAGAAAAAATGCTTGATAAAAGGTTGGGACAAGCAATGTCCCAAGTTGCACAGTGCCTTCACATTTTAGCAACGCCTACAGGAGTAAGAGGAGACGGGAGGTGCATCTTAACTAAAGAAGAAGGTTGACTGGTAGTCAGAGCTTGGAGATGCTCACTGTTACATTTTGCCAACCCAAATGTCTTCATCTTTACAGTCAGGTGAGTGTGGGATGTTATTGTGTGAGTGTGATAGATAATCTATGGGTTCTCAAGAGTGCCTCAGGGTTTGTAACATGGATCCAACACCACACTGTTTCACCCTCGAGGGTAAAACGGCTCAAGCATTGTGGACATGAAGGAAACCCATCGTGTTATTGATGCAGCATGCAGCTACTGAACTCTACTGAAAACGCCAGAACAAAAATTACATTTGACACAAATTCAATTTGAAACAATTTTCTTTTGCATTACATTCTGTTCTTTAATACTGAGTAATCGCGAGTTCCACTAAAACATATTTTCTGTTTAATCTCTTGTTCAATTTCTCCAATATTTAATTTTTTACGAACACAGAAGATATAAAAATTCAACACGTCAGGTTTTCATGACGTATAAAAATGAAGAAAATGAGATCAAGGTAAACGATTTAAGAAAATCATTTCCACCTTTAAAGTTTAACCTGCACAATTCACAGTCACTCTTCAATTCTATTTGGGTGGGGGACAATCACTGAAAAACTTACAATTACCTGGCTGCACAAATGTGCGCAGCCTTAGACTAAAATACTGTTAAATACCTCTTTTGATTTTACTACACCGTTCAGTCTTTTTGGCTAGGAGTTTGCCACAGCACTGAGTCTCTTGATTTGGCAATACTTAACAGTCTTCTTTGCAAAAGTACCACAAATCATCGTCAGGTCACCCCACAGGTTTTGATTTGGATTCAGGTCTAAGTCTTTCCAAAACTTTAATCATCAGGTGAAGACATTCTTTTGTAGAATTGGATGATTTGGGTCATTGTTGTGCTAAAGGGTGAAATTCCTCATCATTTTCATCTAGCAGCTGCTTTAAGTTTTTGTACCAAATTGGTATCAGTATTGGAACTGCTCATATTTCCGTCCATTTTGAGTAAAACACAATGTATTTTATGGTATATTTTACAGCTTGGACATTCTTGTGTACCCTTCTCCTGACTGATACCTTTAAATCATGAGATCTCGTTAACGCTTTATAAGCTTTTTCTGGACCATGGCTTTTAATTTATGCATGTCACATTAAAAATGGACAAAGTTCTGAAGTCATTTTTCTTGGGGTCATATTTTCTCAACATCACAAATCCAGATATTTTGACAGTGCTATGAAGATGTTTTATATCCACTTTATATTCTTTTACTCACTCTAATTTCACTATGTCCTTAATTTGAGTTAGAAAATCTTCACATAGACTTAGGTTGAACAGGTTGGTGGGCTGAACAGAGGCTTCGGGCACAGTGAAGAATAAGACAGAGACAGATGAGTCCAAGTCCACTGAGCAGATTGCATGTTTAATTGGTTGAACCATTGTTTGCAACAGACATCTCCATCATTGGGAGAAGGTAACAAGTCATCGACCCGTGGCATGCTAATCACTATGAATTAGTCTGGAAAACCACATTATCACATTGAGGGTGAATGAGTAGTGCAGACTTTAATAAGCCTAACTATTTCGTATATCACCTTATCAGGGAACAAAACAAAATAAATAAAAAAAAACCCACAATTTACTGATAGTAGTCCAACCTAATAAGCTCCGATTTCTAATTTCATCTCTACCTGGGGTTAAGATCTGTCACCAAGGCAACTTGGACAATTTGCTTACATATATTCTACTGTGGCGTTACAGGAGAAAAGAAAACATATGGTAATGTCAAAAAGAGCAGATATTCTAAACAGCAGGAAAACTTGATTCTGATGCTATGCACTTGGGTGCAAGTGCAGAAGATTTTGCTTTGAAAGATTAGAGAAAAGAAAACACCATCAAGGACAACGCCAAGTAGATTAAGCTGTATAACTTCCCTTGCTGTTTGCTACTTAAAGCAACTTTTGATATGTGAGTTTATTTACGGCATCGAAAAATAGACTTCGCTGTGAAAAATGAGTTCATTTGTCCGTTCCCTGTCACAAGCCCTTGACTGTGTTACCAAGTTTGTGTGGGAAAATGTCTGCGTGTGAATGTGTGTGTATGGAGATGAATAATGGCAGCGTTTATTGAGGCAGTGAAATTAGTGAGAGCATATGGCTCAGCTGAGATGATAGAAAGCCCCTCCCACAACCTGTCAGCCATCAGGGTGACACAAACACACACACAAATGTATGAGCAAAGCTATGATATGTGCACACACACAGACTCACACAGTGTGTGTGAAGGACAAACAGGTGCGGCTGACTCACTACCAGAAGGTGTGACAGGTTGAAGCACACAAGATGGATGGACAGAGGAGAAAGATAATGAACATGTTGGCTGAAGAATGACAAAAGTGAGTTATCTAACTTTAAGGTCCTGCGTCTATACAGTGGCTTTCATCGTTTTATATGGGCTTCCTCTGCCTTTATAGACAGAATATATACACATCATTAACAGCATTTCAATAATTACACTGAAATATACAATTATAGATATTTTTTCTGTCGATTAAACAGAATGATCCAGCAAAATCTAGTGCGTTTTCAGTTCTGTGTAGCAGTACCTGATAGGGTTAAATAAATAATTTAAAAAATAAATATAACTTGTCATTGTGTGTGCGTGCTGTATGTGTGTGTACCTGTATATTTTCTGATGATACAGATCACACCAGAACATCTTGTTGGTGGACACGTCCACATCCAGGGCCACGGCATTCTTCAGTGTAGGGACCACTTGTGTGTACTCACTCTTCAGCGGGTGAATACGACGGATTTCATGACGGTTAGTGAACAGCAGGTACGGACTCTTTCCTGTTGGAAAAGGAAAGATGTTTATGTTACCATCAATGAAACCACTGGACAGAGAAGTTATACAGAACAGCTCATCTGCCCTGTAACCCACTGCTGTGACTCTAAATTAGGAACCTACCAAATATGGGCCGTTTGTACTGCTTTTGCTCTTGGTATGTCACAGGGAAATATTTGTTACCCTTGCAAAATACCTGTACGTGAAAGCTGAACTTGTGAATCTGTACTGTTATAGGCATTTGCAGCTAGACTGCTGACTAGAACCGAAAGTATGAGCACATCACTCCAGTCCTGGCCTCTCTGCATTGGCATCGTGCCTCATTTTAGAATTCAGTTTATGGTTGTTTGATCAAGGCTCTTAATGGGCGGCCCCTAGCTTGTATTACCAGTCTTATTCATTTATATTCACCAATATTTCCCAGGCTCACAGACCCACTGGTGAAGGCCTCTTACTGTACATGTCTCAAGGTCATGCCTCAAGCAAAGAGGTGACAGAGCCTTTGCAGTCGTTGCTCCACAGTTTTCAAATCTACACAATCACACGAAAGCCGAAGTTCTGATAGGACTCTATGCAGTCCTCTGAAAAACTAAGTACTCTTCATGATTCAGTAGCTTGTAGAATCACCTTTGCAATAACTTGAAGCTACTGAAGAACTTTGGTTGACTGTTCACAACGTTGGTTCAGTTCATTGAGTTTTGGCAGGATGATGCATAACTCGGGTGTAGGTCTGGATGACCTTAATTGGACCTTTGCAACACCTTCATTCTTTTCTTTTTCATTCTGTTATAGATTTGCTGCTGTGTTTGACATCATTGTCTTGTAGCATGACTGAATTTGGGTAAAGCTTTAGCTGTCAGTCAGATGGCCTCATATTTGATTCTAAAATACTTTGGTATACAGCATCGTGCTTGACAGTTGGTATGAAGTGTTTGTGTTGATTATGTCGTGTTTGGGTTTTGCCAAACGTGGGGCTGTGCATTATGGCCAAACATTTCCACTTTGTTCTCATCTGTCCACAGGACATGGTTCCAGAAGTCTTGTGGTTTCCTCAGATGAACTCTGTAAAGCTAAGGTGTGTTTGCCGCTGTCTTTCTTAAGAGAAGAGGCTATCGCCACACTTGTTCAATCTTTTTGTGGCATCATGAACTGTCATGAACTTTGACATTTAACACTCTAATAGGGGTTTTTTAAAGTCTGAGATGTAGCTCTTGGGGTTTTAAGCAATTTCTCTGGGCATTGCATGGCCTGACCTTAAGAGGAATTTATTGGGACGCCCATTCCTGGGAACATTGTGACATTTTGTTAACACACATACAAAATAGGCTGTTCTAGTGTTTCCCTTTGCTATTCTTCACCAGTCTAATAACCTACATACTGTTGTGTACAAAGATACCGTGGGTAGTGCTGAGTGTTTAGCCTTATTCCCAGAAGGGAACATAATGTAAGCCAACTGTACTTTGCATTTGTACTATTTAGGTCCTTAAAGCATGTATTTTTGATGATGTGAACATAAATTATGTATCCAAACAACCCCTTTAAAATAATGTTTCCCATCTACACATAGATTTTAGAACAACATCATATTATTGAGTCAGTTTTTCACACAATTATGCACAACAGGGAAAATGATGTATGTGGTATGATTCAGTCCACATGGAAAACACACACCCCTTTTTAAAGACTATTGTTTTGGAATAAAGATGCAAGTGTGGTGTCCTACTGTTGGAAAAAGTTACATTACTCTTGTTAGTGAAGTGACCCAACAAGAGCCATGCCACAGTCTATTTTAAGTACAACAGTGCATTGCTGGGGGTTTTTTTCAGGGGCATTCAGGATGTGGCGTTCACTGGCACTTAGTTACCTGGTAGCGGACACACTTCAGCTGACTGAAGGTGAGGATGGCTCAAGCATTTGAATAATTCTATGTAGGTGACAAGGTCAACTCTAGCACACAGAGATACCTTAGTTTGTGAGCATGGGAGTTGCTGTGACATCTATATTTTTGTCATCAAGCACTTTCAACCTAAAATACAAGAAATGTAGTCCTGGACTCTCACTACAGTGCAGCTAATAAGACATCAATGTTTCTTTTAATTTAGCAGCACTGGTGTGTCCTGGATTGCCACTCCCATTACATTTTCCAGCACGTTTTTTCACGTTTGTTCTCTGTCCTAGCTGTCACGTCATCTTTATTCTCCACTGTCCACAAAAATCAAAACAGCATTCAAACAAGACAAAGCCGGCCGGCAGCAACGTTCGAGCGTGCACAGACAGCACAAACTCCTACTTTCACACAGACTCAACCGTGCTTTGACAGGTTTCCTCAGCCCTGGTTTATTACAGGCCACTGCACAAGGAGAAAATATTACAGTTCTACTACTGCTAGGATCCAATCATTTTTCTCTTACTACTGGGTTTGTAATCATCAATTTCCCCTGCTGAGAGGGCGAGCGAGCGAGAAAGTGAGACAGAGACAAAGGAACAGGCAAGCGCAAGTAAATCTGACAAATGCAGGTAAAGTCAGGGAGAAAAGATCATTAAGAGGATGTAATTAAGGAAGGACGAAGGAAAAAGCCATCAACAAAACAAGTGAAAACATGGGAAAGTGGGAAAAAGAGAAAGAAAAGTAAGAACATTTTGAAGCCTGTATAATGAGGACATGGATAACTCCGACATGTCTTTCATCAATCCCCACAGACTCACTTTTTCACGACAATATCTCTTATCCCTCATCGGTGTTGTCACAGCAATATGTCCTTCTGAAGTTTATTTTTTTAAAAAAGAAAAAAAGAAGCTGAGTCACTGTTTTCCAAAAGGCCCCAGCACTACAGATGTCATCAAAAAGTGCAAGATTATCTCTTCTACAAGATACTGCAAAGCTACAGTCAGCTATCTGAACAGCAACATGGTTCCGTAAATATATTTTAATCTGCAGTGCTCGTTCAGGGCTGCTCTGCCCCATCAGCCAATTAAGATAAAGCTGCAAAAGGATAAGTGCAGCCTGGGAAACACTGTTATTGTTGAGTTAAACACTGTTATATACATGACATTCCTGCAGTGATACCTTTGTTCCATTTACAGGGCACACAAAGCAACTAAAGCAACCTGCTGTGTTCACTTTTTGGACAGCAGCTTCATTACGGTGTGAAACAAGCTGCTGCAGCTTCATCCCTGCCTTCTTCTGGCTAGCTGCCACTCTGAAAACATCCTGAGCGCTCGTGAGCCAATATACTGAAAGTGAACTGTAAATATATCGTGTGACATCATGTTTACCATTTGGTTCCAAATGATATCTTCTCATTTTCAATCCCAAATGTGCAGAACAGGAGCGTCCTGTTTGTTACTGCAGGAATGGCTTCAGTCTGTGAACCACAGGCTGTGTCTGTCAGGACCCACAGGCTTAATCATTCAAACCAAAACTTTCAACAGAGTTCTGTCATAGTGCTTGTTGCCCGTTTCCATCCTTTACATTATGACCCCAGTGTGTGGAACTTGTCTTTATTATAGGTCTCCACTTACAGACCTCATGTTCTCATTCATGCAAACATCAAAATCAGCCAATCACATGGCAGAAGCTCAATGCAGACATCAGCTGGAGTTCAAGGCAAGCATCAGAATGAACATGGCATGACTAGATATCAGACGTGCTTTAGAAGTTGCTGGGACTTTCCAACACAATCATCTCCGAGGTTTACAGAGGACGGTCTGAACGTAACAGGCGAGCAGCAGTTCTCTGGGAGAAGATGCTTCAGTGATGTTCAGAGAAGAAGTGTGTCGAGCGTGACAGGAAGGTAAGAGTGACTCAAATAACCACCTGTTACCACCAAAGAGCTTCTCTGAATGCACCTCATGTTGGAAAGCAGATGGGCTACAGCAGCATCAGACCACAGGGCGCCACATCGCCCAGCTACAAACAGAAACCTGAGGTTGCAGTATGCACAGGCTTTCTGTAGCAGACTTTGGTATAAACATCATAACTGCATGGATTCCTCCTGCATTGGATCAGTGGTGCTACAGTGTGAGGGATATTTCCACGTCCATGCCTTTCTAACCACAGTGTACCAACTCCTGCAGGACGATGTGTAACAAAGCACCAGTCCTCTAACTGGTTTCATGAACAGTTCATGGTCCACAAATAGTCCCCACAGCTATTTGTAAAGATAAGAGGATAGATGGGTGGACGGGTTTTAATTGCGTTCTGTACGTAGTACGTATAAAACAGAGCATGTGTACAGATATTTTCAGATCTAATGAAAAGTCTTAATAGTCACTTACTGTTGCAGCCAGCTATGACCACCCGGACATCTACGGCGGCATGCTCTTTAATGATCTGCACAAACAGATAATAGTTTTCAGTATTTGGGCTCTACACCATGAAACCGTGACTGGAGTTCAGTGAAAATATGCAGCTGGTGCTCCTGTGCAGTGCAGCGCTGGAGAAAGGGCCAGAACCTGTCTGATGGCTTTAGCTCCCACTGAGTCAATGAAAGTTGCAGACGTCCAGTCCAGGATGATGGAGTGGACTGTGCTGAAAGGCTCAAGGGAGACCGCCTCCTCTGAGTCGCCATGTCTGTCGCCAAACTGGCCGTTCTTCTGATCCTCCGCCACGTGGCTCTGGGACAAAACGTCATGAGTCACTGCCTCATCCTTGTACTATATATATATATATATATATATATATATATATATATATATATATATATATATATATATATATACACACACACATACATACACACACACACACACACACACACGACCGTCACATGAGTGTGTATTTAACCTGTTGACAAAGCTCAAAGTTTGGATAGACAAAAGAAAAGCAGTGACCCACCTTGGCACAGATTTTCAGCGGAGACGACCGATTGCTGTTCGTCTTCTCCTTTCTTTTTTTTTTTGGGCTTTCCGAGCAGCTTGTAAGTGTTCAGAGTTTAGCCCCGTCTGTAAAGATCAACATAATCACAACAGAGCTGTTAACATCCAACTCAGCACGTCATTCTTCCTCACTCATTTACCTCTACCATTACCCCACGTCTTATTTTGGCATTTTCTCTGATAATTATTCATATTACATTACATAATACACTTGTTATTAATCTCATGTCTTTATCCTGTCTTCCTTCTCTCCCCCCAACCAATCACAGCAGATGGCCCCGCCCCTCCCTGAGCCTGGTTCTGCTGGAGGTTTCTTCCTGTTAAAAGGGAGTTTTTCCTTCCCGCTGTCGCCAAAGTGCTGCTCATAGGGGGTCATATGATTGTTGGGTTTTTCTCTGTATCTATTAATGTAGGGTCTACCTTACAATATAAAGCACCTTGCGGTGACTGTTGTTGTGACTTGGCGCTGTGTAAATAAAGCTGAATTGAATATGAAAAACAAAAATGAGAACTGAAACAATGTTTACAAAACAAACACATATCGACGTCTTTACTTTTGAACTTTAACACAATAAGCATGAAGCACATGATCAACTGCTTTCAGTAACATCTGTGCTTCACCTGATTTGTCACAAAACAAGTGTTAATCTTGCACAAAGATAACCTGAGTAAAAGCAAAATGCAGTTTTCAACGTGTGATTTCATTGTTTAACCAACACAAGCTATCTAAACCTGCACCTAGGTGAAAACGTAATTACCCAGAATTCATAGTTCCATCAACTGTCCAAGCTCTGAAGCAGTAAAGTAATGACCCTGTTACCCTTTGCAGCTGATCGTGGCACCGTGTTGCTTTTTGAGCTCTTGTAGCGTCTCTTTGTGTTATTGATGCGATCAGGCATGGCTGTGACTCGTAAACACTGAGCTCAATCCATGATCTTACAACGGGACTCTTTTCCCCTTTAAGGACTCAACATGCCTCCACAGTAGCAACAGAGACTGATCCCTAGGAATCAGGTGTTGCTGGTAAAGCTGGCACAGTTACTCCTTAGGTTAAGACTGGGAGAGGCTGGGAATATTTCCCACACGGTGCTTAGATACTGGATAAACCTTTAATTCACACAGTAAAGTTAAAATGTATTCTTTGCTCTTAGTTATTTGAACACACAGAAAAGCAGAAATGACAAACGTAGAAACGTTTTCACTGAACTGTTGAAGCTTCAGCTGTAACGTGAACAGGCTACAACTGCAAACCTTCATTTGTAGCCAAGACAGTGAAAACACAAGCAAGTGCTCGCATCTACCACCAGATGATTACACGCTCACGCTGCTCCTCTCAGACTGAGTCAGGTAAGACCCAGTGATAATAAGTGCTTCACATATTTCCCCCACAAAAGGGTTTCTGTTTGCTTCCACACACTCAAACACACTGCTACCTTCTTCTTGAGGCTGTTCACATACAGGTCACTGTTAGCAAAGTAGATTGAAGAGTTGGAGTGGAAGATCTTAATCCCCTCATATTCAGCCGCCTGAGAACACAAACAGCAGGCTTGGTCAGTGTGGATGTTTCACACGGAGCAGGTTTCTCTCCTCACACATTTACCTCTTCATACTCGTCGACGTCACAGTAGAGCCCCGTGTTAGCGACGTGACCCAGGATGGAAGTTTTAGGGCTGGAAGAGAAAGAAAACAGCTCAGAGCACAAATCAAACCTGCTCTTTGAAAACTCTCACAGCTGCCTTTAAGCTTCAGTTCAAGGAAAAACACATATCCGAATCATTACCTCTGTGTCCTGTATATGACTGTCAATATGGCAAATGTGACGGCCACCAGGAGGCCGTAGTCCAGTCCCAGCAGCACAGAAGCGATAAAGGCGATCACCCAGATGGCCTGAGAGGACAAAAAGGAAAGTAACATGAAACTAGCATGAAGAGGAAGCGTTTTGCAAGACCAAAGCAGTTTTAACATAAGCAAATGTCTTCAGACGACGTGCATTTATCTCCTGCACATTATAGTCACACTTCTGTCTGCAAGCTCAGCTTCTCCACCGTGTATTCACTCGGGTTCACATAAACACCTCTCAGAGTAACGGTGCACTTTAAGTCAGCTAAGCTTGGTTTTAAAGACTGACCAGTTCAATCTTGCTGGTCCTCCACAGACTGGGAATGTCTCTGAACTGCTTGAACATCCCTATGAGGTTGACCATGATGATGGCAGCCAGCGCAGTCTGAGAAACACAAGCAAACGAGAGCCAAAGAAGACATATAGGTGTGTGCGGTCTCACAGGTCACGCCCAAACGTCAGACGGGAACTCACCTGAGGGAGCGGCTCGAAGACAAAGCCGACGGCCACCACCACCACCAGCACCAGCAGCGACGCCAGGAGCCCTGCAATCTAAAGCACACACATAAAAAAGCAATAACTCCATCAACACACCTCTCACTCTAACAACAGCTTTACAGCACCAATTTAGATAGTGTAATCACTCCTGCAGCTCGTGTGTGTCACCTGTGTTTTGCCTCCTGTGCTCTCCTCGACATGGAGCAGGTGACGGCAAACGTTTGGAAGAAGGAGCTGATGAAGTTACACAGACCGAGTGCAATGAGCTCCTGAAAGTGGACACGTGGAGGAAAACCGTGAAAAAGAGAGGAAAGTCCTTCTGCAACAACATTTACACACGTCAGCTTTGGACAATTTCAGGAAAATGCGACCCGTATATTTTCCACAGTCGTGCTTTACTAAATGCGTGACCTGCATTTATGTGTCAGCTATGTGTCACTGGAGGACACGCTTTGCTCAGTCTTCAACAAATAGTACAGTCAGGCAACTATACAACGCTCCAAACAACTCAGTGTTCAATGAAATGAACACGTTCCAACAAACTGGAACAATGAACCTTTTTGTGAGCAGCATTTCCAATATCAGCGTGCAGGATAAAAATATAACTTTACAAGATTTGCAACAAACAGCTAGAGGACGTCCCATCATCCAGAAGATCCAAAGTGTCCTAACCAAACATTTAGTCACACACAGTGCCAGAGGCTCATCAGCAGCTCACCCCGTGGACACACTCACCTGGTTGCCATCCACACTGTAGCCATGTTTCAGGGCAAAGATCTTGGCCAGCGAGACGTCCATGGAGAATCCTACAATCGCTATAGCAAAAGAATCTGTGACCAAATTGGGCAGCAGCGAGATGTTTGGGGCAGCAGGAGGGCGAAGCCTGTAACCAATAAGACAACATCTGTATACCTCTGTCACATACGTGTAGAGAACACGAGCTTAAACCAAAAGACACTTAAACAAATCCATAGAGTGTGCGGCCTACCCTGTTGGTATGTTCCCAACCACATGGACCTTGTATTCCTTTGATAACGACAAACCATAGGAGATGCCCGTGGACACGATGACCACAATGATCTCTCCAGGAATGGGAATGGGCAGCTTCTTCTTGAAGCGCTCGTTGAGAATTTTGATCACGTAAAGGAAGATGATACACCCGAGCCCCAGAAGGAAAGTGGCAATATTGGTGCTGGTGATTCTGCTGAGCACTGCTTTGACACTCTGCAGTGACAGAAAGGTAAGTGTTAGCGATTCATTGACCATTATGGGAAGGAGAAAGACAGGGCCTCTCAAAACTCACATAAATAGCAGAGAGAAACCCAGAATAACGCTGCGTTTCCACCCCCAGCAAGTACTTCAGCTGGGAGATGACGACGTGCATGGATGCTGCTGTGGTGAAGCCTCGCACCAGGGGCTCGGTGAGGTAGATTGCTACAAAGCCAAACCTGAGAAGACCTAAAACAATCTAAAGGAATGCAGAAGAAGAGGGGGGTCAAAAACAATCTTTCATACAGAAACATTTAAAATCGAGTTGATACATCAACAGTGATTCAGACATGCTGCTGCTGCTGCTTTGGATAAACAGTGAGATTAGCCACGGCTGCTCTGCAGGCGGGAGGCTGACCTGGATGAGTTGTGACCATCACGGCCACCTGGACCCTGCTCTTATCACGAAGCTCCACGTTGATGGCATCAGATGCGTTGGATCCAGTAGCATTGATATTCATAAACATGCTGTCTGGTGCCTCCCTCACAGCGACGCCCCCAATCATCAGACTTATGACAGCAAAGGTACCTGCAGGTCATCGACACAAACGCAGCGCTATGATAGGCTGGGGTCAAAGCTGATGTCGAGTACAACGAGCGCTCAAACGCAGCACAGAAACTGCAGACTTGTGCTCGCACCGGCCTTTCCTCTCACCACCCTGTGACGGTAAAGGCCGTCCTGCCTCACACTTGAAAAGCAGCCCAATAATTTCCTCTCGTTCTCTGCCAGAGGGGACTGTCATCATTCCCACAGCAACCTGATGTCAGGCCAGATTTTGGCCAGCGGTGATTTACAATCTTTGCAGATTAGCTTCTCAGCTTCAAAGGGTTGAGCAGGTCTAGTTTATTGGACCCATTTGTTGGACGGATTTAAACTGACAATCGAGACAAGCGTGACAGCGTTGGAGAAAAGAAAGCAGCCAGATTGGTGAGACAACTGAGGCTGGGTTTAATGAAATCTGCTTATGTCAGTCTTTACGTAGTTAGAGGCAGCGAGTTTTACAATCCCAGTTGTGGAAGATGTTAGAAAGTGAAGTTTTACAACATCTGTCAAGCTCAAATTTTAAAAACCTTCCACAGGACACACGTTCTGAGGGGTTATAATGTTACAGTTTTTGCTGTTTTGTTTTTACATTTACTAAACTTTCGAATTCACAAAAATGATGTGGGTACATGCTGATTATCACTTAGGCTACGTTCACACTGCAGGCGAAAGCGCATCAAATCCGACTTTTCTGACCCTGTGCGACTCATATCCGATCATGGTGTGACAGTGTGAACGGCACAAATCCGACCTGGGTCACTTTCATATGTGGTCCTGAATCCGATACATATCTGATGTTTCAGAAATCGACTGCTGTTTGATGGTCATGTCGCATTAAATCCGTCTTTTACGTCACTGACACAAGACAGACGCCAATTATCAGCGCCGGAGAAGACATCGCGAACGTTTCCTGACCATCCCGTGAAACTGTTTGGAAGACAACGTTGGAGAAACGTGAACATTTTATTTGTACCGTATAATCTGCAGATTCTGACAGAAATCTATCCTCTGAAGCACTGCTCCTCTAAAACAGCAATAAGGATCATTATTAGGTTATCTACATTATTATGTAAATAACAAAATAACTTAAAGCAAAAATTGGGAAACATGAAGTCCGAAGTCTTTATATTAAGGTCATCAGTCAAACATACTGTTGCTCTGGGTCTAAACGGAGCGCGTTGTGTGTGACGTCTTCTTTTGCGCGTTTGCTGTCACATTTTATTTGTAGTGTGAATGAGCAGACAAAAGAATCGGATTTGATCAAAAAATCTGAATTGAGCATCAAGACCTGCAGAGTGAACATAGCCTAAGAGACTAAAAACATTTAAACCTGCTTGGATTGAAACCAGAGCACAAGGTTAAGCCTCTGTGGGCAGTATTTACTTTAAAGGTAGAGGTCAAAGGTGACATTTGGATGCAGATGTGAGCCCCAGCATCACTTCCTCAATGTTAATCAGAATTTTAAAAACATTTTAGGAACGTTTGAAGATCAGGTAATAACGTCATATTTACAGTCCCCATAAACACTCTCAGTGAGAAGGTAAGCAGCATGTATACAGCACTGTCTGTATAATATCAATACACATGTATGAATGACAGTTTAAGTTAGAAGGTTTTGTCAGTTTTTAACCAATAAAATCATTAGTGGAGCTTGAAGACCTCGGTGGATGTCAGTCAAATATGAATGGAGTCTTAACATGACGTCACTCCACACACACACACACACACACACACACACACACACACACACACACACACACACACACACACACACACACACACACACACACACACCCACACCTCGTCTATCATGTGATAACGGGGTTTTCTTATTTGCTTTCAGAACCTGCACCTGTAGGTAGAGTTATCCACCCTCACGTGCACACAGACAGAGAACCACGGTACAAACTACTGCAAACAGAAGAACAAACTGTAACCTACAAAGTAACACAGCTGTGACGAGATCATCTGCACTGTGGGAGCAGAAGCCTTCGTCTGGAAGGCAGAAACTGAATCTCACTATGCAAAGTGTGTGAGACATGAAGCACTGTGGTTTAGTCTGTGGGACCACGGAGCTCTTTCAGCTCTTTCCGTTCTTCACAGAGAAATATCCAAACCATCGCACATACGAAGAGGACCACGAAGGTTTAATAAAAGCACAGTTGGCTTTAACAAAATGAAACGTAATATTTTTATCGCACCTGTCCTTTTTCAGGAAAACCTCTCCCACACACAGTTGCACTAAACCAAACATCACTGCAGCACTTTGGTGCTGTTCATCAAGTGTGCGCTGTCTGATGACAGGCTCATCTGTGTCTTATTCTGCCATAATGTGACGTGTTGTTTCCTCACCATGTGACAGTTTTACAGGAACACTTCCTGTTTGTGAGGTGCTTCATTGGGTCCAACTGTCAGAGGGACTCATAGGTCACAGCTGGCATTTGAGACTTGGACCCATTTCAAGGAAAGGAAGCTGTCACAGGGTGAGGTCGCTGAAATGCCTCCCGTGAAAGCTAAGCACACAGTTAGCACACATACAAACATTTCCTCCACACCTTTCATCTCATAATCTGAATCACTGTGTAACCCAGTACACCTCACAGTCACTACAGACACAGCTGTGTGGAAAGTGACTAGTTGCCTGCAAGACTTGGATGTGACACCATTAATGTGGATTAAGAAATCTATAAAAAGCTCAACCATGTAAAAATGACATCATCTTAACTACATTTGTCTTCTCTCAAAAAGCAAGCGAGAAAAGAAAACAGCTCGGTGCGTCTGAACGTCACCATCTTCAGCTATAGTTTCCTATCCTCATAATAGGCAGCAAAGCATTACTGGAAATACTGTTAGACGTGAGGAAGCAGCCGTGGCCGAGCACACAGCTGCAGTGAACCAGAGGAGCTGGCTTCCATGGTTTCTTTATTCCAAACGAACATCAAGCTGGAAAATGAAGAAGCTAGCAATCAGTGACACATCCAGGAAGCAGCAGTTTCCTTCATATACAATCATTTTCTTCTTATACATCTTATTTAAAGGCTTCTTTCTTGGCGAGAACCTTAACACCAACTTTACATTTAACACTAAACTGAAAGGAAACGTCAGACCGTGTCAGGGTGTGTCTGTTTGGATCGATTTCAAACAATAAATAAATATTTTGATAAATATTTAGGTCGGGGCATCGCCATGGCGGCGGTACCTTTAATTTCTCTCCTCTGTACATGTAGCTTCAACAGCAGAACATGAAATTTTCTGTTGTGTGTGTGTTGGGGGCAGGGAGTAAATAAGAGGGTGGAGCTTATGGAACAATGACGAGCATATTGTAACTGTTTTCTTGTACGTGGGCAGAGCCGGTCACACAGGGCCATGAGGTCAGAACAGAGACGGCTCTCTCACCTACTGATATGTGTCTGGACGTGCCAAAGAAGGTGTACAGCAGGACCGGGTAGAAGGAGGAGTACAGACCATAAACAGGAGGCACCGCAGCCAGCATAGCGTAGGCTAGTCCTGTGGAGCAGGGAAGATAACACGTTTCCAAATAAACAATCCTGGAGGTTCAGTGACTCCATCACAGTGTCAAAGTGTCAGCGATGGCAAAACAGAGTCAACATGAAGCAGAAACTGCTCCTCTGGAGCCGCAGCCGGCCCTGCTCGCAGCCTCGGTGCTTCACACGGCGCTGCTGCACAGTTCACTGACCTTGTGGAAGCTGCACGACTCCCGTGCTGAGACCTGAGACCACGTCTGAAAAGAGGTACTTCTTGACTGGATACGACGGCAGCCATGAGAGAATAGGCATGAAGCTCAGAGCTGCTGCCTTGGCCTTCTCTGAAGAACACCTGTGGATATTCAACACCAATCAGATTTTTAAAAGCCTCCACAGACAAAGTTTTTCTGGAGTCGCTTTCATGTTGTTGACTGCAGGATTCAAGAAGCCCCCTCGTGTTAGCTGAACTTTGGAATGACTCGTGCTTACAATAGCCCTACTATACCTTTAATAGCAGCACCACGTGAGTTACACTGGTTAACAGATATTTGTTCTTTCTTACACCACAGAAATATCATTTCAGTGATAATGTTTGTTCTGCTGTTACAGATTTAAGCCCCAACATTCACCCTCACTCTGCACTATAGCCAAGAGTTATTTAAGAAACATCAATGTTTTACAACTTTATGACACTTTTGTTGTTCCCTCTGCAAAATGACAAGAAAGCATCTCTATAAATGACTCTAACGTGTCACTGTGTCGATTCCCACCCTGAGCTCTGCCACACCCTCTGCCTCGCTCCCTTTTGCCCTGCGTCCTGTGGATGGTTATGAGTGCAGACCCGTTCTTCACTAACTCCCGGGTTGCTCGCTGTACGGTTCCAAAGCACATCTCTGCTTTTGTATGAAGACCTCCTCCTCCTCCTCAGCTCCCCTCAGTAAGCCCTCCCACCTGTCTCAGTCCCAAATTGCCAGCGAGCTGGCATTAGCATGTCATTTCCCAGCCTTGTTCGGGCGGCTTATTTAACCCCCGACTTCTCCCCCTTTTTGCTTGCCCAGCTGCATCAGTTCCCAAATAAAAAGCAGGGACAGAGGATCCCGGGTTTGTGCAGTTTAGCTCTGAATAACTTTTTCATTTGTTTTTAAATGTTAGAATGCAACATGATCTATTTGAAGATCAGTGTTGGAGCTTTTTTGCATTTTAATGTGTTAAACGTCTTATTTTTCCACTCATCTAAAGGACATTTGAAGGTTGCACATCAACTCCCACAGATTTTCCACTGTCTTCTGGCTTCAGTTTATACAGCACACTGGGATCTTGTGTGTGGATCTATGTCGATGCTGATCTGTTCAACGACATGTTGACAGGAAATGTCCAGAGAAAGACTTACTGGAACTTTTCTGCCAGCTTCTGACAATTTGTGGTGGTGTCTTCTTTGCGTTTAAGAAGCTGTGCCTGGATCAGAGTTTCATTGTAGACAGGACGCTCGATCCTGTAAATCAGCTGGGAGTCTTCATCCTCTCGAGCTGCTGCAGCCACCACTTCTTCTTCTTGCTCCATGGTAGAGGCCGGAGGGCTGGCGTAGAATCTATGTCCCGTGTAGTTTATCTCTCCCGCTTTTTCTTCTCGGCTGGTATATCCTCATTCCTTAAACCTTTTCAGAGCAAGCGAGGACAAGACATGACAAGATAGTTATGATTTCTACAAGCATGGGTGACGATAATAAGAAAGCCCTTTGCTATGCTGACAAAGATTTCAGTTTGATTTGCAATGATGCAACTTTCGAGTAAATATTTGGTCTCTGACCAGCTTATGTAATGGCTTGCATTAAGTCTGATGTACTGGGGGAAAGGTTTGCTGAATAAATCATAAGGCATAGAGTTTCCTCAGGGTAGGTGTGCAGTGTTTTACAGCTACAGGCAAACCTCTCTCCCAGAAGTCTTGCAACCACACGTCTTCATGGACCACGATCCAGGAACAAAGCCATGCATGTGGGTAACGTTTATAAAAGAGGAAACACGTAGCTGGTCTGGTTAAGTACTTGGATTACACCTCGACATGGTGCCTTCAAAGTCAATCCAAAAAAACAAAAAAAAATCAAATCTCTGGCTATGCAGATAAATAGTGAATGAAACTACTGTGATACTGTGAGAATAGCAGGCGACTGTTAGAAAGGTTAGAATACAGTTCTGTATTTGATATTTACATTAATTATTTATTAAATCTATATTTATTATTTTATATATAATAATATGCAAATGAGTAACACTTGCTTGTTTTTCCCCGTGTGTGGAACAGGTCCTGAACATTAACAGACTTATGTCAGAGGTTTTATATATCATGCAGAATAAAGTCTCCTGTTCAGTCATTCTCGCGCCGACAGTTGAACGCCTCGCGCTTCTTCCCATTTCCTCTCCTGTGCTAGCTCGCTCACATCACATTGTAAAAAGCAGCTTTGATAAATTCAAAGCGGAGACACGAAATTTTAATTAATTCAATTCAATTCAATTCAATTTTATTTATATAGCGCCAAATCACAACAAAAGTCGCCTCAAGGCGCTTCATAGATACAGAGAAAAACCCAACAATCATATGACCCCCTATGAGCAAGCACTTTGGCGACAGTGGGAAGGAAAAACTCCCTTTTAACAGGAAGAAACCTCCGGCAGAACCAGGCTCAGGGAGGGGCGGCCATCTGCTGCGACCGGTTGGGGTGAGAGAAGGAAGACAGGAATTAAAGGGCCAATATGTACTACAGGTACGACGGCGAGCGTAGCTACAGCAGCTCCCGTGGCTGTGACAGAAGCTTTCACCTCCTCACAGGGAAACAAGCTAACTCAAAGATAGTAGCAAAGACCAGAGGAGGAGCCAGACATTTGAAACACCCGGGCTTAGCCCTAAAGGGTAGTATGCATGTGGGATTTTTTTTTTTTTTTGAGGGGGGGGGGGGGGGGGGGGTGTAGAAATGACTGAAAGATTAATAGGCTCTGTTTTGAGTTTTGTTCAAAAAGAATGACTTCATATGGGGAAATATATATATCACACATGCAGGACACCTTAAACTAGTTTTTTAATTGAGCAGCAAGACAGAACGAAGTCGGGGCTGTATCAAGACACAAGGACTAAACCCCAATTCAACCAGACCCAGAACTGATCCGGAATTAAAACAGGACTACAACAGTTCAAAAGCAGGATTACTGAGGACTTAATCAAGACAGAACCACAATCAGAGCTAGATGATAGCAGCACTAAAAATCATCATAGACCTGCACTACACTTATTTTTTTAATTCTACCAAAGTACAATATTTAGATTGAGAAAAGTTTATATAATTATTTAGCCTTGTTGTGCAAACAAGCCTGCAGAACTTAATAAATATAGAATTTGAAAAATAGCAAACCTAAAAAGAAACACTAGGTACGAGATACATGAGTACCTATGATACAGTGATACTTTTAGTAAGCAACCATTTGACTAACATGTGTGTCTCACCTGCTCTTGTTCATCTCTGTTCTGTCCTTATTCTCCTCTCTCCCTCTCTGTTCCTCTCTCTCCCTCTTTGTGCTGACAATCATCAAATATACAGTTGAAACCAGATATTTACAAACTCTTCAGATCAAAACACAAACACTTTTTTAATTGTAACATCAAATCAGACTAAATGTTTATTTTTTTAGATTGATAAATATAAAAACATATTTGTTAACTTTAAGAGTAAAGAGAGAAACTGTCTGTGTTTTTTAATTGCAAATGGCACCAAATTGTATTCAAACTGAGCCACACTTATGGAGCTCCACAGTTCTTTTCCTGGTGTTGTGGTTGATATCTCTTAATTTTCCCATTTCAAAGAAACAGGCTCTGTGTTTTGCCTTATATGCATCCACAGCTGTGCCACCTGTTTACTCACATGGACTCTACTAACCTATCAGAAGTTTCTTCAGCTCAGAATGGAATCGTCTGGAGTTTTCTTATTAATTAACAATAAACTTAGTGTACATGTACTCCTAAATTTAATGAAAGTGATAAAAAATAGACAGCTCTGTCTCTCTTTATTCTGACATTTAACTAATTCAAAATATATTTCAATATTTATCTAAAACAAAAGTTTACTCTAAATTGATGTTGTACAGTAAAAATGTTTTATGTTTTCTCCCTAAAGTGTATGTAAATATCTGGTTACAAATGTGAATATCCTGCTGTGTACTGAAATCCCTCTTGTTTTGCATAGAAATATACTGAACAACAAAGCATAATATATAAAATAACATTTACCTGAGTTTTTTCTTTGAAAGAAGCCTCTAATGTCCATTCTTATATTTCAGTACATAACTGAAACCGAATTAGTCGGGGAGGGTAAGAACTGAAAATATGAAATAAACACACGTAAGCTAAGACTCTCTAAAAAATAGCATTTGTTCGGCTTTTCATTTCGCCATTTGTTGATTCACTTGAAGAGCAAGTAAAATAATATTGGTCAAGTGATCAGTTTCATATCAATCTTTCGTGATTCACCGTCATATTTACATTATTTGTACGGTACGAATGATTTGCTTTGGTACCTGCTCAAACTTAAGCTCTCCTTAGTATGGCTGGCTCCGTCTCTCCAACAGCGGACTCACGGGCAGCAGCTCCCCCCGCCCCCTCGCTCAGTCGCTTAGTGCCTGAGCTTGGATCATACCAATATCAGGGGGGGATTCACGCACAGTCGTAAATTCCCACAGTGTGCACTATGTGCTTCGAATATTGTGTGTACTTTTTGTTTTATACAGTTGTCAGCCAGGCATCTAACTATGAAAAAATTACACTCCAAAATACCCCGGGCTTCTGACAAAACAACCCGGGCTTAAGCCCCGTAAGCCACCCCCCGCTCCGCCCCTGGCAAAGACACTTCGCTCACCTCCATCCTCCTTGTTTCCCCCCAGCCGCTAAGATGCTGTCGGCTCAAGGAGAACACAAGTACACACACTGACCTCTTCGGTTGAAGTTTAACAAGGGCAACGTCCTTTCGAGCACCAAACGCTGACGATAAACCACAGATAGGATGTGCGGACAGGATGAGTCCCTCTGCTTAAAACTTTCTTGCAACTTCCGGTCCGCAAGAACGGGAGTAGCTCTGCACGCATGCGTTGTTGTCTTTATCATCCCACTTTGTAGTCCTAAAACAAAGGGCAGGCCTACTTTATGTTCTTGCTATGCTTCATTATCAGTGCTAGAAGACAGAAAGGAAAGGGGACCTTTACATTTTAGCAGTTTTTGTCTAAAAGGTTTTCCAAATCTGGCATTTCCTGTTCTCTCTCAAGATAAATACCAAATATGGCAGGCACATTTATTACAGACACACAACACCGCTGTAGACACTCATCTACTGGAGTCAGAGTGGGAGCTCTCGTGTTTGGGGACAGGGGGTGGATGATGAAAGCAGAAAGTGTTTGACGTATGGCAGGCCTGGCCCCCTCCTCCCGGTGCCGTGTTGGTCACCAACACGTGCTGCAAGCCAGGATTCGGCTTTGGAGTGAGCACTCGCGTAACTGTAAATGAGGAAAAATGACTTTAGTTTAAGTTTATTTATGGTCTGTGTGAAGTCACAAGAATGCAGTCAGAGAGAAAGAGCGCTCAGAGAAAGCTGCCGTGCTTCCAGGGAGACTTTTCCCGTCTTGTGTGAAGTTACTAAGGATGAATCCGTCCACACTCTGACCGTCAGCTGTACTCTGCGCAGCCGCAAACTGTTCGTATGCCTAAAAAGCCACGTCCAGTTTATTACAGGTGAACTATGCCTTAACAGCTGTGTGGACAAATGTGTCTTTTTTGCACTGAAAAAACTCTGGGTGGTAAACATCTCATGAACAACAGCAGAAAGTCACACAGCAGTGTGAGTCTAACCAAATATCCCAGCTCCAACAGAGTCATGCAAAAAAAGTAGGTTAAGCAAAGTTTGTTTGTCCTCTGCTGCACAACCTCTGCACAGGGGTGTGCTTGCTCAGGTTTAACAGGTATTGGTCAACGTGAAATGGCTAGATAGAACTTTTTTTTAGTATTATTTTTTTAGTATTTTATTTTGAACTAAGTGAAAATAAAACCAGAGGAAACTCTGCTAATAGTCAGTTAAGTTGCTGAAGCAGAGACCGAGGGTGCTGCAGTGGTGCTCTCAGCTGAGTTTAAGTGGCTGGTTTGGCTTCCACTTTCCCCTCCTGGATTATGGAACTAACTCATGTTTAAACGTGTATTTTTATATTTAAATGTATAATTATGAACAATAAAAGTAATGCATATTAATATTGTTGCATATATATGTATAGAAGCTCAGGGACCTGAAGTGCAACAAGCAAATATCCCTGATACCACAGCAGCAGCACCCTGATCATATTTTCATGTCATTTGTGCATAATTATAACTGTGAATGTTGCAGCACAAGTTGACACTCACCAGACTTTGCAACATTTTTCTAATTTTTTGCTATTTTGCTGAGCCCATATAAACCGTAGTCTCAGCTTGTTGCCACCAGGTGCAGTCTTCTGCTGCTGCAGCCCATCTGCTTCAAGGGTCCATGTGTTGTGTGTTCA